GCATTTATTTGTGTATTGATTTGTGCACTTGCTGTGGGAGGTGTTGTGCCAGTGACTGTGGGAGCACTCCCTGCTCTGCCAGTGACACGGAGGTGATTGCAGGGGGGTCCTGCTGTTCATTTATTATTTTTTGTGTATTTATTTATGTATTTATTTGTGCATTTGCTGTGGGAGGTGTCGCTGTCAGTGATTGTGGGAGCACTCACAGTGACACAGAGGTGACTGCAATGAGCTCTGCTCACAGTGCACCTCCTGCTGGTTCATTTATTATTTTTTGTGCATTTATTTGTGTATTTATTTGTGCATTTGCTGTGGGAAGTGTTGGTGTCAGTGACTGTGGGAGCACTCCCTGCTCTGCCAGTGACACGGAGGTGATTGCAGGGGGTTCCTGCTGGTCCATTTATTATTTTTTGTGTATTTATTTATGTATTTATTTGTGCATTTGCTGTGGGAGGTGTTGCTGTCAGTGACTGTGGGAGCACTCACAGTGACACAGAGGTGACTGCAATGAGCTCTGCTCACAGTGCACCTCCTGCTGGTTCATTTATTATTTTTTGTGTATTTATTTATATTTTTATGTATTTATTTGTGGATTTGCTGTGCACAGAGGTGACTGCAGTGGGCCCTGCTCACAGTGACCTCCCAGAGCAGAGGTTCCTGTGCTCACAACCCCTCTGGATGCCCTGAAATGTGTGGATGTTTTCAGGGCTCCCAGGATGAGGGAAGAGATGAGGATCTGACTCCATGTTTCAGAAGGCTGATTTATTATTTTATTACATATATTATATTAAAACTATACTAAAAGAATAGAAGAAAGGATTTCATCATAAGGCCAGCAAGGAAAGGGAAGGAAACGATAAAATCTTGTGACTGACCAGAGAGTCCAAGACAGCTGTGCTGTGATTGTCCATTAATTAAAAACAACCACATGAGACCAATCACAGATGCACATTTGCATTCCACAGCAGCAGATAACCATTGTTTAGATTCCATTTCTGAGGCCTCTCAGCTTCTCAGGAGGAAAAATCCTGGCAAAAGGGATTTTTCATAAAATATCATGGCTACACAGAAATGCCTGGATGGAGGTGGGGCTGTGCACAAACCACTCAGGTCTGGCTGGTCAGGCCAGGATGGCCCAAGGAGAAAAGAAATTTGGTATTTTTGGGGTCTGTTCCTGATCAGGCCATTCCTGGCCCAAAGAGAACAGAAATTTGGTATTTTTGGGGCCTGTTCCTGATCAGGCCATTCCTGGAGAGGAGAGAACAGAAATTTGGTATTTTTGGGGTCTGCTCCTGATCAGGCCATTCCTGGAGAGGAGAGAACAGAAATTTGGTATTTTTGGGGCCTGTTCCTGATCAGGCCAGGATGGCCCAAAGAGAGAACAGAAATTTGGTATTTTTGGGGTCTGCTCCTGATCAGGCCATTCCTGGACAGGAGAGAACAGAAATTTGGTAATTTTGGTGTCTGTTCCTGATCAGGCCATTCCTGGCCCAAAGAGAACAGAAATTTGGTAATTTTGGTGTCTGTTCCTGATCAGGCCAGGATGGCCCAAAGAGAACAGAAATTTGGTATTTTGGGGGTCTGTTCCTGGTTAGGCCAGGATGGCCCAAAGCGAACAGAAATTTGGTATTTTTGGGGTCTGTTCCTGGTTAAGCCAGGATGACCCAAAGAGAACAGAAATTTGGTATTTTTGGGGGTCTGTTCCTGATCAGGCCATTCCTGGCCTAAAGAGAACAGAGATTTGTATTTTTGGGGCCTCTTCCTGATCAGGCCATTCCTGGACAGGAGAGAACAGAAATTTGGTATTTTTGGGGCCTGTTCCTGATCAGGCCATTCCTGGCCCAAAGAGAGAATAGAAATTTGGTATTTTTGGGGCCTGTTCCTGATCAGGCCATTCCTGACCCAAAGAGAGACAGAAATTTGGTATTTTTGGGGCCTGTTCCTGATCAGGCCATTCCTGGCCCAAAGAGAACAGAAATTTGGTAATTTTGGTGTCTGTTCCTGATCAGGCCATTCCTGGCCCAAAGAGAACAGAAATTTCGTGTTTTGGGGCCTGTTCCTGATCAGGCCATTCCTGGACAGGAGAGAACAGAAATTTGGTATTTTGGGGCCTGTTCCTGATCAGGCCATTCCTGGCCCAAAGGGAACAGAAATTTGATATTTTTGGGGTCTGTTCCTGATCAGGCCATTCCTGGAGAGGAGAGAACAGAAATTTGGTATTTTTGGTGTCTATTCCTGATCAGGCCAGGATGGCCCAAAGAGAACAGAAATTTGGTATTTTTGGGGCCTGTTCCTGATCAGGCCATTCCTGGCCCAAAGAGAACAGAAATTTGGTATTTTTGGTGTCTGTTCCTGGTTAGGCCAGGATGGCCCAAAGGGAACAGAAATTTGGTATTTTGGGGGTCTGTTCCTGATCAGGCCAGGATGGCCCAAAGAGAGAATAGAAATTTGGTATTTTTGGGGCCTGTTCCTGATCAGGCCAGGATGGCCCAAAGAGAACAGAAATTTGGTATTTTGGGGGGCCTGTTCCTGGTTAGGCCAGGATGGCCCAAAGCGAACAGAAATTTGGTATTTTTGGGGTCTGTTCCTGATCAGGCCATTCCTGACCCAAAGAGAGAACAGAAATTTGGTATTTTTGGGGCCTCTTCCTGATCAGGCCAGGATGGCCCAAAGAGAGAACAGAAATTTGGTATTTTTGGGGCCTGTTCCTGATCAGGCCATTCCTGACCCAAAGAGAGACAGAAATTTGGTATTTTTGGGGTCTGTTCCTGATCAGGCCATTCCTGGCCCAAAGAGAACAGAAATTTGGTATTTTTGGGGCCTGTTCCTGATCAGGCCATTCCTGGAGAGGAGAGAACAGAAATTTGGTATTTTTGGGGTCTGCTCCTGATCAGGCCATTCCTGGACAGGAGAGAACAGAAATTTGGTATTTTTGGGGTCTGTTTCTGATCAGGCCAGGATGGCCCAAAGAGAACAGAAATTTCGTGTTTTGGGGCCTGTTCCTGATCAGGCCATTCCTGGACAGGAGAGAACAGAAATTTGGTATTTTGGGGCCTGTTCCTGATCAGGCCATTCCTGGCCCAAAGGGAACAGAAATTTGATATTTTTGGGGTCTGTTCCTGATCAGGCCATTCCTGGAGAGGAGAGAACAGAAATTTGGTATTTTTGGTGTCTATTCCTGATCAGGCCAGGATGGCCCAAAGAGAACAGAAATTTGGTATTTTTGGGGCCTGTTCCTGATCAGGCCATTCCTGGCCCAAAGAGAACAGAAATTTGGTATTTTTGGTGTCTGTTCCTGGTTAGGCCAGGATGGCCCAAAGGGAACAGAAATTTGGTATTTTGGGGGTCTGTTCCTGATCAGGCCAGGATGGCCCAAAGAGAGAATAGAAATTTGGTATTTTTGGGGCCTGTTCCTGATCAGGCCAGGATGGCCCAAAGAGAACAGAAATTTGGTATTTTGGGGGGCCTGTTCCTGGTTAGGCCAGGATGGCCCAAAGCGAACAGAAATTTGGTATTTTTGGGGTCTGTTCCTGATCAGGCCATTCCTGACCCAAAGAGAGAACAGAAATTTGGTATTTTTGGGGCCTCTTCCTGATCAGGCCAGGATGGCCCAAAGAGAGAACAGAAATTTGGTATTTTTGGGGCCTGTTCCTGATCAGGCCATTCCTGACCCAAAGAGAGACAGAAATTTGGTATTTTTGGGGTCTGTTCCTGATCAGGCCATTCCTGGCCCAAAGAGAACAGAAATTTGGTATTTTTGGGGCCTGTTCCTGATCAGGCCATTCCTGGAGAGGAGAGAACAGAAATTTGGTATTTTTGGGGTCTGCTCCTGATCAGGCCATTCCTGGACAGGAGAGAACAGAAATTTGGTATTTTTGGGGTCTGTTTCTGATCAGGCCAGGATGGCCCAAAGAGAACAGAAATTTCGTGTTTTGGGGCCTGTTCCTGATCAGGCCATTCCTGGACAGGAGAGAACAGAAATTTGGTATTTTGGGGCCTGTTCCTGATCAGGCCATTCCTGGCCCAAAGGGAACAGAAATTTGATATTTTTGGGGTCTGTTCCTGATCAGGCCATTCCTGGAGAGGAGAGAACAGAAATTTGGTATTTTTGGTGTCTATTCCTGATCAGGCCAGGATGGCCCAAAGAGAACAGAAATTTGGTATTTTTGGGGCCTGTTCCTGATCAGGCCATTCCTGGCCCAAAGAGAACAGAAATTTGGTATTTTTGGTGTCTGTTCCTGGTTAGGCCAGGATGGCCCAAAGGGAACAGAAATTTGGTATTTTGGGGGTCTGTTCCTGATCAGGCCAGGATGGCCCAAAGAGAGAATAGAAATTTGGTATTTTTGGGGCCTGTTCCTGATCAGGCCAGGATGGCCCAAAGAGAACAGAAATTTGGTATTTTGGGGGGCCTGTTCCTGGTTAGGCCAGGATGGCCCAAAGCGAACAGAAATTTGGTATTTTTGGGGTCTGTTCCTGATCAGGCCATTCCTGACCCAAAGAGAGAACAGAAATTTGGTATTTTTGGGGCCTCTTCCTGATCAGGCCAGGATGGCCCAAAGAGAGAACAGAAATTTGGTATTTTTGGGGCCTGTTCCTGATCAGGCCAGGATGGCCCAAAGAGAGAACAGAAATTTGGTATTTTTGGGGTCTGTTCCTGGTTAGGCCAGGATGGCCCAAAGGGAACAGAAATTTGGTATTTTTTGGGGTCTGTTCCTGGTTAAGTCAGGATGACCCAAAGAGAACAGAAATGTGGTATTTTTGGGGCCTGTTCCTGATCAGGCCATTCCTGACCCAAAGAGAACAGAAATTTGGTATTTTGGGGGGGGGTGTGTTCCTGGTCAGGCCATTCCTGGCCCAAAGGGAACAGAAATTTTGTATTTTTGGGGGTCTGTTCCTGATCAGGCCATTCCTGACCTAAAGAGAGAACAGAAATTTGGTATTTATGGGGCTGCCCGCGCCGCAGGCGGTGCCAGCCTGGCCTGACCCCCCTGTGCCCCCAGGTGAACCAGGGGAACATGCCTGGCATCCAGAGCACCTTCCTGGCCATGGACACTGAGGAGGGCGTGGAGGTGGTGTGGAACGAGCTGCTCTTCACTGACAGGAAAGCCTTCAAAGCTCACGAGGTGAGGGCACGGCTGGCACGGCCTGGTATGGCCTGGTATGGCCTGGTACGGCCTGGTATGGCCCAGAACAGCCTGGTACGGCCTGGTAGGGCTCTGCCCCCTGGCACAGCCTGGTATGGCCTGGTACGGCCTGGTATGGCCCAGAACAGCCTGGTACGGCTTGGTATGGCCTGGTATGGCCCGGAAAAGCCTGGCACAGCCTGGCACAGCCTTGTATGGCCTGGTACGGCCTGGGATGGCCCAGAACAGCCTGGCACAGCCTGCTAGGGCTCTGCCCCCTGGCACAGCCTGGTATGGCCTGGCATGGTGTGGCAGAATGGGCTCCTGTCCCTGGCACGGCCTAGTACGGCCTAGTACAGCCTGGTAGGGCCTGGTATGGCCTGGTATGGCCCAGAACAGCCTGGCACAGCCTGGTATGGCCTGGCATGGCCTGATACAGCCTAGAGGCACAGCCTGGTATGGCCTGGCATGGCCTGGCAGAATGGGCTCATGTCCCTGGCACGGCCTGGTACGGCCTGGGGGCACAGCCTGGCATGGCCTGGTACAGCCTGGACAGCCTGATACAGCCTGGCACGTCCTGGCAGGGCTCTGCCCCCTGGCACATACTGGCACAGCCTGGCACGGCCCAGCACAGCCTGGACGCCCTGGCACGGCCCAGCACAGCCTGGCACGGCCCAGCACAGCCTGGCATGGCCCAGCACAGCCTGGCATGGCCTGGTAGGGCTCTGTCCCTGGCACAGGCCCCTCCTTGACTGCTCCCTCCCAGGAAGGACAGAGCAGGACCTGGGGCATCCCCAGAGCTTGAGGTGCCCTGCCCGTGCCAGGAGCTGCCTTCTCACCTGTCCTGTGCCATCCTGGGAGCTTCTGTGTGCCAGGAGCTCCCTCCTCACCTGTGCTGCCCATCCCAGCCCCTCACCTGTGCCCTTTGCCAGCCCCTCACCTGTGCCCTGTGCCCCCAGGAGCTCACCTGTCCCATGCCAGGCCCTCACCTGTGCCCCCCCCTCACCTGTGCCTCCAGGCCCTCACCTGTGCCCTGTGCCAGCCCCTCACCTGTGCCCTGTGCCCCCAGGAGCTCACCTGCCCCATGCCAGGCCCTCATCTGTGCCCCCCCCTCACCTGTGCCTCCAGGCCCTCACCTGTGCCCTGTGCCAGCCCCTCACCTGTCCTGCCCCTGCCAGGAGCTCCACCCTCACCTGTACTGCCCATCCCAGCACCTCCCTCCTCACATGCCCTGCCCTGTGCCCCCCTCACCTGTGCCCTGTGCCCTCAGGAGAAGATCCAGACCATGCCAGCCCCTCCCCTGTGCCCCCTGCACCTGTGCCCCCCTCATCTGTGCCCTGTGCCCCCAGGAGCTCTCTCCTCACCTGTCCTGCCTGTGCCAGCCCCTCCCCTGTGCCCTGAGTCCTGTGCCAGCCCCTCACCTGTGCCCCTCCCCTGTGCCCCTCACCTGTGTCCCCCTCACCTGTGCCCCCCCAGGAGAAGATCCAGACCATGCTAGCCCCTCCCCTGTGCCCCCCTCACCTGTGCCCCTCACCTGTGCCCTGTACCCCCCCAGGAGAAGATCCAGACCATGTTTGAGCAGCTGGTGCTGGTGGATCACCCCAACATTGTCAAACTGCACAAGTACTGGTTGGACGTCAGGGACAGCAAGGCCCGGGTACGGCTGAGGGGTCTGGGGGGTTCTGGGGGGCTCTGGGGGGTTTTGGGGGGTTTTGGGGGTCTCTGGAGGCACCTGACCCCCCTGCCCCGTTGGCCCCAGGTGATTTTCATCACGGAGTACGTGTCCTCGGGGAGCCTCAAGCAGTTCCTGAAGAAAACCAAGAAGAACCACAAGGCCATGAACGCCCGGGTGAGCCCCGGGGGCACCCCCAGCCCCTCTGGGGAGGGGGCTGCGTGTCCCTGGCCCTGGGAAAGGGGTGGCAGGGCACGGGGGGGATGTTCCTGTCCCTGTGTCCCTGTCCCTGCACCTGGGAATGGACCCTGAGCCATGGCTGGGCACAGGGCATGTCCCTGTCCCTGTCCCTGTCCCGTGTCCCTGTGTCCCTGTCCCTGTCCCTGTCCCTGTGTCCATGACACAGCTCTGTCCCTGCTGCTCTGTCCCCACTCTGGCCCTGTCTCTGCGAGGGGTGGCAGGGCACAGGAGATGTCCCTGTCCCCACTGACACAGCTCTGTCCCTGCTCTGTCCATGCTGTGTCCCCCTGTCCCTGTCCCCACTGTGACAGAGCTGTGTCCCCACTCTGTCCCTGGCCCTGGGAAGGGGTGGCAGGGCACGGGGGGGATGTCCCTGTCCCTGTTACTGGGAATGGACCCTGAGCCATGGCCAGGCACAGGGGACGTCCCTGTCCCCCTGTCCCTGGCCCTGGGAAGGGGTGGCAGGGCACAGGGGATGTCCCTGTCCTGGGGTGCCAGCATGTCCCCACTCTGTCCCTGTCCCCCTGTCCCTGTCCCCGCTCACAGAGCTCTGTCCCTGCTCTGTCCCTGTCCCCATGACACAGCTCTGTCCCTGCTCCATCCCTGTCCCCGCTCTGTCCCTGGCAAGGGGTGCCAGGGCACAGGGGCTATGGCAGGGCACAGGGGGATGTCCCTGTCCCTGGGAATGGACCCTGAGCGTGGCAGAGCACAGGGGATGTCCCTGTCCCTGTCCCTGTCCCTGTCCCTGTCCCTGCTGTGTCCCCCTGTCCCTGTTGCTGTCCCTGGGAAGGGGTGGGAAGGACCCTGAGCAGGGCACAGGGGGCTGTCCCTGTCCCTGGCCCTGTCCCTGTCCCTGTCCCTGTCCCCACTGACGCAGCCATGTCCCCCTGTCCCCTCCTCAGGCCTGGAAGCGCTGGTGCACCCAAATCCTCTCGGCTCTCAGGTGAGGCTCCCGCAGCTCCTGCAGCTCCACCCCTGCCCCGAGGGCTGCAGGGGCTGCGGGCAGAGCTGGGCACACGCTGTGCCCCACTCTGTGCCCCACTCTGTGCCCCCCTGTGCCCCCCTGTGCCCCCTGTGTGCCCCCTGTACCCCCCTGTGCCCCCTTGTGCCCCCCTGTGCCCCCCTGTACCCCTTGTGCCCTCCTGTGCCCCCTGTACCCCCTGTGCCCCCTGTGCCCCCCTGTACCCCCTGTGTGCCCCCTGTTCCCCCCTGTGTGCCCTCTGTGCCCCCCTGTGCCCCCTGTGCCCCCCTGTGCCCCCTGTGTGCCCCCTGTGTGCCCTCTGTGCCCCCTGTGCCCCCTGTGTGCCCTCTGTGCCCCCTGTGCCCCCTGTGTGCCCCCCCTGTGACCCCCCCTGTGACCCCCCCATGCCCCCCCAGTTTCCTGCACTCCTGTGACCCCCCCATCATCCACGGGAACCTGACCAGTGACACCGTGTTCATCCAGCACAACGGGCTCGTCAAGATCGGCTCCGGTGCGCCTGGGGGGGCACGGGGGGGGGCACGGGGGGCTGGGGGGGTCACAGGGGTCTGGGGAGTTCTGGGAGGGTCTGGGGGTCACAGGAGGATGGGGGGGGGCACGGTGGTCTCGGGGGGTCACAGGTGTTTGGGAGGTCTTGGGGGGTTACAGGGGTCTGGGGGGGTCATGGGGACTGGGGGGTTCACAGGGGACTGGGGGGACTGCGGGGGGCACAGCGGACTGGGGGGGTTACAGGGGTCACAGGGGTCCGAGGGGGTCAGAGGGGTCTGGGGGGGTTGCAGGGTTCTGGGGGGTCACAGGGTTCTGGGGGGTCTGAGGGGATCCAAGGGGTCAGAGGGGGTCCCAGAGGGTCCCATAGGGTCTCAGGGGTCCCATGGGGTCTCAGGGGTCCAAGGGGGTTGGCAGGAGGAAGGGGGCGGGGGTCACACGGGTTTGGGGGGGGTCCCAGGGGGTCCGAGGGGTCTGAGGGGGTCCCATGGGGTCCCATGGGGTCTCAGGGGTCCAAGGGGGTTGTCAGGATGAAGGGGGCGGGGGTCCCACGGGGTCTGGGGGGTTCCTGGGCAGGCAGGAGCCCTGAGAATCGCGGGGTCCCTTTTTGGGGTGCCAACCTCTCTGTCCCCTTTCCTTGCCCTCCCGATGCCCGCCCTGGCAGTTTGGCACCGGGTGTTTGCCAATGGTGAGTGACCCCCCCTTGGCCACCCCCTGTCCTGGGGGCACCCCCGCAGCCCCCAGACCCACCAGGGGCACTGGGGACGGGCTCTGTGAGGAGGGGGCACCGGGGACGGGCTCTGTGGGGAGGGGGCACCTCCATCCCACCAGGAACAGCTGCTGAGTGGGAGCAGAGGGGGCTCCTGGCACGGGGGTGGGCAGGGGCACAGATCCCCCCCCTGAGACCCCACAGGTGGGCACTCACAGAGACCACCTGGGGTGGGCACACTCAGAGCCCCTAGATGGGCACACTGACAGGTGGGCACACAGACCCCGCGGGTGGGCACTGTCCCAGGTGGGCACACACTGACCCCACAGATGGGCACTGTCCCAGGTGGGCACACTCAGGGTGGGCACACTCAGGGTGGGCACTCACAGGTGGGCACTCACAGGGTGGGCACACTCAGGGTGGGCACTGTCAGGTGGGCACTGTCCCAGATGGGCACTCACAGGTGGGAACACTCAGGGTAGGCATTCAGGTGGGCACTGTCAGGGTGGGCATTCAGGGTGGGCACTGTCCCAGGTGGGCACTCAGGGTGGGTACTGTCAGGGTGGGCACTCGCAGGGTGGGCACACTCAGGTGGGCACTGTCCCAGGTGGGAGCACTCATGGTGGGCACACTCAGGTGGGCACTGTCCCAGGTGGGCACTGTCAGGGTGGGCACTGTCACGTGGGCACACTCAGGGGGGGCACTGTCAGGGTGGGCATTCAGGGTGGGCACCGTCAGGTGGGCACTCAGGGTGGGTACTGTCAGAGTTGGCACTCACAGGTGGGCACACTCAGGTGGGCACTGTCAGGGTGGGCACACTAAGGGTGGGCACTGTCAGAGTGGGCACTCACAGGTGGGCACTGTCCCAGGTGGGCACACTCAGGGTGGGCACTGTCCCAGGTGGGCACTGCCAGGGTGGGCACTCTCAGGTGGGCACTGTCCCAGGTGGGCACTCAGGGTGGGCACTGTAAGGGTGTGCCCTGTCCCAGGTGGGCACTGTCAGGGTGTGCCCTGTCCCAGGTGTGCCCTGTCCCAGGTGGGCACTGCCAGGGTGGGCACTCTCAGGGTGGGCACTGTCAGGTGTGCCCTGTCCCAGGTGGGCACTCTCAGGGTGGGCACTGTCAGGTGTGCCCTGTCCCAGGTGGGCACTCTCAGGGTGGGCACTGTCAGGTGGGCACTCTCAGGTGGGCACTCTCAGGTGGGCACTCTCAGCCCCTCAGCCCGTGCCCCCCTTTCTCTCTCTCTGTCCCCAGCGCTCCCGGATGATCTGCGCAGCCCCATGAGGATCGAGCGCGAGGAGCAGCGGAACCTGCACTTCTTCCCTCCGGAATACGGCCGTGAGTGGGAAAATGGGAATGGGGAAATGGGAATGGGGACGGGAATGGGGAATGGGGAATGGGAACGGGGAATGGGAGCTGTGGAACCTGCACTTCTTCCCTCCGGAATACGGCCGTGAGTGGGAAAATGGGAATGGGGAAATGGGAATGGGAATGGGGAATGGGAATGGGAACGGGAATGGGGAAATGGGGAATGGGAGCTGTGGAACCTGCACTTCTTCCCTCCGGAATACGGCCGTGAGTGGGAAAATGGGAATGGGGAAATGGGGATGGGAATGGGGAATGGGAATAGGAACGGGAATGGGGAAATGGGGAATGGGAACGGGGAATGGGAGCTGTGGAACCTGCACTTCTTCCCTCTGGAATACGGCCGTGAGTGGGAAAATGGGAACGGGGAAATGGGAATGGGAATGGGGAATGGGGAATGGGGAATGGGAATGGGGAATGGGAACAGGGAATGGGGAAATGGGAATGGGAATGGGAATGGGGATGGGAACGGGAATGGGGAAAGGGGAATGGGGATGGGGATGGGGAATGGGGAATGGGAACAGGGAATGGGGAAATGGGAATGGGGATGGGAACGGGAATGGGGAAAGGGGAATGGGGATGGGGAATGGGGAATGGGGAATGGGGAAATGGGGAATGGGGAATGGGAATGGGAATGGGGAATGGGAGCTGTGGAACCTGCACTTCTTCCCTCTGGAATACGGCCCTGAGTGGGAAAATGGGAATGGGGATGGGAACGGGAATGGGGAAAGGGGAATGGGGATGGGGAATGGGGAATGGGGAATGGGGAAATGGGGAATGGGGAATGGGAATGGGAATGGGGAATGGGAGCTGTGGAACCTGCACTTCTTCCCTCTGGAATACGGCCCTGAGTGGGAAAATGGGAATGGGGAAATGGGAACAGGGAAATGGGAATGGGAATGGGGAAATGGGGAATGGGAATGGGGAATGGGGAATGAGAGCAGCGGAACCTGCACTTCTTCCCTCCGGAAAACGGCCGTGAGTGGGAAAATGGGAATGGGGAAATGGGGATGGGGAAATGGGAACGGGGAATGGGTAGGGGGAATGGGGAAATGGGGAATGGGAGCTGCGGAACCTGCACTTCTTCCCCCTGGAATATGGCTGTGAGTGGGGACCGGAATGAATGGGACACAGGGACAGGGATGGGGATGGGAATGGGGAATGGGGATGGGAATGGGAATGGGAATGGGAATGGGAATGGGGAATGGGAATGGGGAACAGGAATCAGAATGGGGAATGGGAACAGGAACAGGAATGGGCACAAGGGGTGCACAGCGCAGGAGGGCAGGGGAGGGGAAGGGAGACAGGTGAGAACAGGTGAGGGCAGGGATGGGTATCCAAGGGGATGGTGTGGGGTGTCCCGGGGCTGCCCAGGTGGGGCTGCCCAGGTGGGGTGCCCAGGTGTGGGGTTCCAGGTGTGGGGTTCCAGGTGTGGAGTTCCAGGTGTGCCCAGCTGGGGTGCCCAGGTGTGGGTTCCAGGTGTGGTGCCCAGGTGTGCCCAGCTGGGGTGCCCAGGTGTGGGGTCCAGGTGTGGGGTTCCAGGTGTGCCCAGGTGTGGGGTCCAGGTGTGGGGTTCCAGGTGTGGTGCCCAGGTGTGCCCAGCTGGGGTGCCCAGGTGTGCTCCAACCCTGAGCTCTGCCCCGTGTCCCTCTCATGCCCCAGAGAAGGCAGACGGGACGGCCGTGGACATCTTCTCCTTCGGGATGTGCGCGCTGGAGGTGCGGGAAGGGGCTGGGAGCCCTGGGAGCCTGTGGGGAGGGGTCACCGGCTGGGGCCGTGCCCTGTGGGGAGGGGTCACCGGCTGGGGCCGTGCCCTGTGGGGAGGGGTCACCGGCTGGGGCCGTGCCCTGTGGGGAGGGGTCACCGGCTGGGGCTGTGCCCTGTGGGGAGGGGTCACCGGCTGGGGCCGTGCCCTGTGGGGAGGGGTCACCGGCTGGGGCCGTGCCCTGTCCCTGCCCTGGCTGGGGCTGTGCCCTGTGGGGAGGGGTCACCGGCTGGGGCTGTCCCCTGTCCCTGCCCTGTCTGGGGCTGTCCCCTGTCCCTGCCCTGGCTGGGGCTGTGCCCTGTGGGGAGGGGTCACCGGCTGGGGCTGTGCCCTGTCCCTGCCCTGTCTGGGGCTGTCCCCTGTCATTGCCCTGTCCCCTGGGAATCCCCCCCAGATTGTCCCTGTCCCCATCCCCTGGCAGATGGCCGTGTTCCTATCCCTGCCTGGTCCTGGACGTGTCCCCTGTCCCCTGGAACCCCCCCGGACTGTCCCTGTCCCTGTGCCCTGGCAGATGGCCGTGTCCCCTGTCCCTGTCCCTGCCCCTGTCCCTGTAACCCCAACATGTCCCTGTCCCTGTCACCCCCAGCCTGTCCCTGTCCCTGTCCCTGTCCCCCCCAGCCTGTCCCTGTCCCCTGACAGATGGCCATGTCCTCTGTCCCTGTCCCTGTTCCTGTCCCTGTCCCTGTCACCCCCAGCCTGTCCCTGTCCCTGTCCCCTGGCAGATGGCCCTGTCCCCTGTCCCTGTCCCTGTCCCTGTCACCCCAGTCTGTCCCTGTCCCTGTCCCTGTCCCTGTCCCTGTCCCTGTCCCCTGTCCCTGTCACCCCCAGCTTGTCCCTGTCCCTGTCCCTGTCCCCATCCCTGTCCCCTGTCCCTGTCACCCCAGCCTGTCCCTGTCCCCTGGCAGATGGCCCTGTCCCCTGTCCCTGTCCCTGTCCCCTGTCACCTGTCCCTGTCCCTGTCACCCCAGCCCATCCCTGTCCCCTGTCCGATGGTCCTGTCCCTGTCCCTGTCACCCCAGCCTGTCCCTGTCCCCTGGCAGATGGCCGTGTCCCCTGTCCCTGTCCCTGTCCCTGTCACCCCAGCCTGTCCCTGTCCCTATCCCTGTCCCCTGTCCCTGTCCCTGTCACCCCAGCCTGTCCCTGTCCCTGTCCCCTGGCAGATGGCCGTGTCCCCTGTCCCTGTCCCTGTCCCTGTCACCCCAGCCTGTCCCTATCCCTATCCCTGTCCCCTGTCCCTGTCCCTGTCACCCCAGCCTGTCCCTGTCCCCTGGCAGATGGCCGTGTCCCCTGTCCCTGTCCCTGTCCCTGTCACCCCAGCCTGTCCCTGTCCCCTGGCAGATGGCCCTGTCCCTGTCCCTGTCCCTGTCCCCCCCAGCTTGTCCCTGTCCCTGTCCCCTGGCAGATGGCCCTGTCCCTGTCCCTGTCCCCCCCCAGCTTGTTCCTGTCCCTGTCCCCTGGCAGATGGCCCTGTCCCTGTCCCTGTCACCCCAGCCTGTCCCTGTCCCCTGGCAGATGGCCGTGCTGGAGATCCAGACCAACGGGGACACGCGGGTGTCGGAGGAGGCGATCGCGCGGGCCCGGCACTCCCTGGATGACCCCAACATGAGGGTGAGGGGACTCTGGGGACCTGAGGGGGACAGGCCCTGTCCTGGGTCAGTGCTGGGGACAAATCCCTGTCCTGTGTCACTGCTGGGGGTGATTCCCTGTCCTGGGTCACTGCTGGGGATGAATCCCTGTCCTGTGTCACTGCTGAGGACAAATCTGTGTCCTGGGTCACCCCTGGGGACAGTCCCTGTCCTGTGTCCCTACTGGGGACAATCCCTAGTCTGTGCCACCCCTGGGGACAGTCCCTGTCCTGTGTCACCCCTGGGGGTGAATTCCTGTCCTGTGTCACTGCTGGGGACAGTCCCTGTCCTGTGTCACCCCTGGGGGTGAATCCCTGTCCTGTGTCCCTACTGGGGACAATCCCTGACCCCTGGGGAAGTCCCTGTCCTGTGCCACCCCTGTGTCACCCCTGGGGGTGAATCCCTGTCCTGTGTCACCCCTGGGGACAGTCCCTGTCCTGTGCCACCCCTGTGTCACCCCTGGGCGTGAATCCCTGTCCTGTGTCACTGCTGGGTTCAAACCCACCCCCATCTCCCTCTCCTCAGTGTAAATCCCACCTTTATCTCTTACTCCTGGGTGCGAGTCCCCACCCTGCCAGCTCCCCGTGGGTGCAGCTGGGCTCTGGCCCTGTCCCTGCTGTCCCTCCTCCTGTCCCCAAGTGTCCTGGGGCTCCTGCTCCAGCTTTGGGTCCATTTCCTGGGAAATGGGGTCCAAGGCAGGCCTTGGGCAGTGCCCCCTGTGCTGGCACCTCCCAGGTGCCCAGGTGAGGGCACTGAGGGGCTGGAATGTGCCCAGGGGAGGGAGGAGAGCTGGGGAAGGGTCTGGGGGAGCTGGGAGGGGCTCAGCCTGGAGAAAAGGGGGGGATCAGGGGGGCCCTTGTGGCTCTGCAGAGCTCCTGCCAGGAGGGGACTGTGACCGTGTTCACAGGGGGCTTACGGTGAGGGAAGAGATGAGGACCTGACTCCGTGTTCCAGGAGACTGATTTATTTATTATTTTATGATATATATATATTATATTAAAACTATACTAAAAGAATAGAAGAAAATGTTGAAGGAAGAGACGAGGACCTGACTCCATGTTCCAGGAGGCTGATTTATTATTTTATGATATATATATATTATATTAAAATATACTAAAAGAATAGAAGAAAATGTTGAAGGAAGAGACGAGGATCTGACTCCATGTTTCAGGAGGCTGATTTATTATTTTATGATATATATATATTATATTAAAATATACTAAAAGAATAGAAGAAAATGTTGAAGGAAGAGATGAGGACCTGACTCCATGTTCCAGGAGGCTGATTTATTTATTATTTTATGATATATATTATATTAAAACTATACTGAAAGAATAGAAGAAAATGTTGAGGGAAGAGACGAGGACCTGACTCCATGTTTCAGGAGGCTGATTTATTATTTTATGATATATATTATATTAAAACTATACTGAAAGAATAGAAGAAAATGTTGAGGGAAGAGATGAGGACCTGACTCCGTGTTCCAGGAGGCTGATTTATTTATTATTTTATGATATATATATTATATTAAAACTATACTGAAAGAATAGAAGAAAATGTTGAAGGAAGAGAGGAGGACCTGACTCCATGTTTCAGGAGGCTGATTTATTACTTTATGATATATATTATATTAAAACTATACTGAAAGAATAGAAGAAAATGTTTCATCAGCAGACTTAGCTAAGAATAGAATCAGCAAGAATGATAACAAAGGTTTGTGGCTCAGCTCTCTGTCCGAGCCAGCTGGGCTGTGATTGGCCATTAATTAGAAACAACCACATGAGACCAATCACAGATTCACCTGTTGCATCCCACAGCAGCAGATAATTACTGTTTAAATTTTGTTCCTGAGGCCTCTCAGCTTCTCAGGAGGGAAAATCCCAAGGAAAGGCTTTTTCATGAAAATGTGTCTGCGACAGGGGACAGCCAGGGGGGATTTGGGATCTGATCCCAGGAACAGGGACAGGAGGAGAGGGAACGGCCCCAGGCTGGGCCAGGGGAGCTCAGGGTGAATTTCCCCATGGAAAGGGGGGGTCAGGAGCCGCCCAGGGAGGGTTGCAGAGCCCATCCCTGGAGTGCCCCAGGGGGCGAATGGGCACTCAGAGCTGGGGATGGGGCACGGGGGCAGCTCTGTGAGCTCCAGGGATCCCAGGGTCCCTGTGGGAGCATTGCCCAGCCCTGCTGACCCCGTGGCCCTGCCCTGCCCCAGGAGTTCATCCTGTCCTGCCTGACCCTGAACCCCGAGCGGCGCCCGAGCGCCAACAGCCTCCTGTTCCACCGCGTGCTCTTCGAGGTGCACTCGCTGAAGCTGCTGGCAGCACACTGCTTCATCAACCACCAGTGTGAGAGCCTGGGGAGCCCCTGGGGGCCTGGGCAGCGCTGGGAAGGGTCAGGATGGGGAGCAGAGCCAGGCTGGGGGAGCTGGGAATGGTCAGCAGGGGGAGCAGAGAGCCAGGATGGGGGAGCTGGGAATGGCCAGGATGGAGCAGAGAGCCAGGGTGGGGGAGCTGGGAATGGCCAGGATGGAGCAGAGAGCCAGGGTGGGGGAGCTGGGAATGGTCAGGAATGAGAGCTGGGAATGGTCAGGATGGAGAACAGAGCCAGGCTGGGAGAGCTGGGAATGGTCAGGATGGAGAACAGAGCCAGGCTGGGGGAGCTGGGAAGGGTCAGCAGGGGGAGCAGAGCCAGGCTGGGGGAGCTGGGAATGGTCAGGATGGAGAACAGAGCCAGGGATGAGAGCTGGGAATGGTCAGGATGGAGAACAGAGCTGGGAATGGTCAGGATGGAGAACAGAGCCAGGAATGAGAGCTGGGAATGGTCAGAATGGAGAACAGAGCTGGGAATGGTCAGGATGAAGAATAGAGCCAGGGATGAGAGCTGGGAATGGCCAGGATGGAGAACAGAGCCAGGAATGAGAGCTGGAAATGGCCAGGATGGAGCAGAGAGCCAGGATGGAGAGCTGGGAATGGTCAGGATGGAGAACAGAGCTGGGAATGGTCAGGATGGAGAACAGAGCCAGGCTGGGAGAGCTGGGAATGGTCAGGATGGAGAACAGAGCTGGGAATGGTCAGGATGGAGAACAGAGCCAGGATGGAGAATTGGGAATGTTCTCCTGGAGAGCTGGGAATGGTCAGGATGGAGAACAGAGCCAGGATTGAGAGCTGGGAATGGCCAGGATGGAGAACAGAGCCAGGATGGAGAGGTGGGAATGGTCAGGATGGAGAACAGAGACAGGATTGAGAGCTGGGAATGTTTCCCTGGAGAGCTGGGAATGGTCAGGGTGGAGAACAGAGCTGGGAATGTTTCCCTGGAGAGCTGGGAATGTTTCCCTGGAGAGCTGGGAATGTTCTCCTGGAGAACAGAAGGGCCCAAGGAGATCTCAGAGCCCCTCTCAGAGCCTGAAGGGGCTCCAGGAGAGCTGGAGGGGGATTTGGACAAGGGAGGGAGGGACAGGCAAGGGGGAATGGTGTCCCACTGCTGCACAGCAGGGCTATCTGGGATTTTGGGAAGGAATTCCTGGCTGGGAATGGGGCAGGGCCTGGCACAGGTGCCCAGAGCAGCTGTGGGCTGCCCCTGGATCCCTGGCAGTGCCCCAGGCCAGGCTGGGCAGGGCTGGACAGGACTCGGGGCACCCTGGGGCAGTGGGAGGTGTCCCTGCCATGGCAGGGGTGGCTCTGGGTGGGGTTTGGGGTCCCTCCCACCCAAGCCCCCCCAATTCCCTGTGCAGACCCTGGGCAGGGGCTCCCAGCCCCTCCCTGAGCAGGGGCTGCAGCACCCACACCCCCCCCCGTGCCTCTGCCCCAGATCTGATGCCTGAGAACGTGGTGGAGGAGAAGATCAAGGAGCTGGACCTGAACATGGTGATGGCCGAGATCCGCAGGGAGGGACGGCCCGGGGTGCAGTGGAGGTGAGGAGGGGGGACCCCAGAGCCTGGAGACTTCCCCAGAGCCTGGAGACCCCAGCCTGGGGGACCCCTACCCTGGATACCCCCCCAGCCTGGAGACCCCAGCCTGGAGACCCCCCAGCTTTGAGACTCCCCTAGAGCCTGGAGACCCCCCCACAGCCTGGAGACCCCCCCAGCTTTGAGACCCTCCAGATTTGAAACCCCAGAGCCTGGAGACCCCCCAGATTTGAGACCCCCCCTAGCCTGGGGACCCCTACCCTGGATACCCCCAGAGCCTGGAGACTCCAGCCTGGAGACCCCCCCAGAGTCTGGGGACCCCCCAGCTTTGAGACCCCCCCAGAGCCTGGAGACCCCAGCCTGGGGACCCCCCTGCCATGGGCAGCAGCCCCCTTGACCCCCCTGACCTCCCTCGGACACCCCTGATCCCCCCAGACCCCCCTGACCCTCACCAGACCCCCCCTGATCCCCCTGGACCCCCTTGGACTCCCCTGACCCCCCCTGGACCCCCCCGACACCCTGGATCCCCCCAGATCCCCCTGGACCCCCCCTGGAACCCCCTGATCTCCCCTGGACCCCCTTGGACTCCCCTGACCCCCCCTGGACCTCCCCTGACACCCCGGATCCCCCCTGGAACCCCCTGGACCCCCCTGACCCCCCTGTCCTTTCCCAGGTACTCCGAGGTTTCCTTCCTGGAGCTCGACAAGTTCTTGGAGGACGTGAGGTGGGTGTGAGAGCCCCCCAGGGGTGAGCACCCCCTGCCTGGGGTCCCCCCTGTGAGCACCCCCTGCCTGGGGTCCCCAGGGGGATGTGGGGCTGGGATGGGGACACGGGGGGTGTCCCTGCTGTCCTGGGATGGGGACACGGGGGTGTCCCTGCTGTCCCCTGCTGTCCCCAGGGGGATGGGGGGGACATGGGGGTGTCCCTGCTGTCCCCCATGGGAATGTGGGGTCAGGATGGGGACACTGGGGTCTCCCTGCTGTCCTGGGATGGGGACATGGGGGTGTCACTGGTGTCCTGGGATGGGGACATGGGGGTGTCCCTGCTGTCCCTGCTGTCCCCAGGGGGATGTGGGGTCAGGATGGGGACATGGGGGGTGTCCCTGGTGTCCTGGGGATGGGGGGGACAAACATTGGGGTGTCACTGGTGTCACTGGTGTCCCCATGGGAATGTGGGGTCGGGATGGGGACGTGGGGGTGTCACTGGTGTCCCCAGGGGGATGTGGGGCTGGGATGGGGACACTGGGGTCTCCCTGCTGTCCTGGGATGGGGACATGGGGGTGTCACTGGTGTCCTGGGCTGAGCACACTGGAATGTCCCTGGCGTCCCCAGCTGTGCACATGGGGGTGTCCCTGCTGTCCCCATCGGAATGTGGGGTAGGCACATGGGGGTGTCACTGGTGTCCCCTGGTATCCCCAGGGGGACGTGGGGACATGGGATGGGGACACGGGGTCTCCCTGCTGTCCTGGGATGGGGACATGGGGGTGTCCCTGCTGTCCCCAGCTGCCCCTGCTGTCCCCAGCCCTGCCAGGGGATGGGCTCAGCCCCATGTCCCCTCCGTGTCTGTCCCCACGGGAGTGTCCCTGCCATCCCCAGGGGGATGTGGGGTTGGGATGGGCACATGGGAGTGTCCCTGCTGTCCCTGCTGTCCCCGCTGTCCCCAGCCCTGGCAGGGACGCCATCAGCCCTGTGTCCCCCTCCGTGTCTGTCCCCAGCTGTCCCCATGGGAGTGTCCCTGCTGTCCCCCAGGGGAATGTGAGATTGGGACGGGCACACAGGAGTGTCCCTGCTGTCCCCAGCCCTGGCAGGGATGGCATCAGCCCCGTGTCCCCTCCATGTCTGTCCCCAGCTGTCCCCACAGGAGTGTCCCTGCTATCCCTGCTGTCCTGGGATGGGATGTCCCTGCTGTCCCTGCTGTCCCCGCTGTCCCCAGCCCTGGCAGGGACGCCATCAGCCCCATGTCCCCTCTGTGTCCCCCCAGGAACGGGATTTACCCCCTGATGAACTTCGCCGCCTCCCGGCCCCACGCGCTGCCCCGAGCCCTGTCCCAGCCCCAGGAGGATCCCCAGAAAGCCAAAACCCCCACGCCAGAGCCCTTCGACGTGGAGACCAGGAAGGTGAGGGGTGGTGGGGCTCACCGGGGGCCCAGGGTGAGGGAAAGATGAGGATCTGACTCGTGAGGGAAAGATGAGGATCTGACTCCATGATTCTGAAAGCTTGATTTATTATTTTATGATATGTATTATATCAAAACTATACTGAAAGAATAGAGGAAAGGATTCCATCAGAAGGAAAAGGGAAAGGAAAAGGAAAAGGATGAAAGGACAGGAAAGGGGAAAGGAAAGCAAAGGGGAAAGGAAAGGAAAGGAAAGGAAAGGAAAGGAAAGGAAAGGAAAGGAAAGGAAAGGAAAGGAAAGGAAAGGAAAGGAAAGGAAAGGAAAGGAAAAGGGGAAAAGGGGAAAAGGGGAAAAGGGGAAAAGGGGGAAAAGGGGAAAAGGAAAAGAATAAAAGGAAATGAAAAGGAAAAGGAAAGGGGAAAGGAAAAGGAAAATAAAATCTTGTGACTGACCAGAGAGTCCGAGCCAGCTGGGCTGTGATTGGCCCTTAATTAGAAACAACCACATGAGCCCAATCCCAGATGCACCTGTTGCATCCCACAGCAGCAGATAACCACTGGGTACATTTTGTTCTGTTGCATTCCCCAGCAGCAGATAACCGTTGTTGCATTTTGTTCCTGTTGCATCCCACAGCAGCAGATAACCATTGGTTATTTACACTTTGTTCCTGTTGCATTCCCCAGCAGCAGATAACCATTGGTTACATTTTGTTCCTGTTGCATCCCACAGCACAGATAACCATTGGTTGCATTTTGTTCCTGTTGCACCCCACAGCAGCAGATAACCATTGGTTGCATTTTGTTCCTGTTGCACCCCACAGCAGCAGATAACCATTGGGTACATTTTGTTCCTGTTGCATTCCACAGCAGCAGATAACCATTGGGTACATTTTGTTCCTGAGGCCTCTCAGCCTCTCAGGAGGAACAATCCTCAGGAAAGGATTTTCCATAAAACAGACCCGTGGCAGTGAGGGAGCTCCAGGGCAGCTGCAGGTGGGGACAGCCCTGCCCTGCTGCCCCCCCTGCCACAGGGACACCTGTCCTGTCAGCCCAGGGAGAGCCAGGAGGGGAATTTGGGGTTCCTGTAGGAATTTGGGGTTCCTGTAGGAATTCCAGAGGACTGCCTGGGCAGGGGTAGAGAGAGCTGGGACAGGAATTTGGGGTTCCTGAAGGAATTTGGGGTTCCTGTGGGGATTTGGGGTTCCTGTAGGGAATCCAAAGGGGTTCGCGGGCAGAGGCAGAGAGAGCCAGGAGGGGAATTTGGGGTTCCTGTAGGAATTTGGGGTTCCTGTAGGGAATCCAAAGGGGTGCCTGGGCAGAGGCAGAGCCAGGAGGGGAAATCTGGGGGTCCTGTAGGGATTTGGGGTCTCTGTAGGAATTCCAGAGAGCTGCACAGGCAGAGGCAGAGCTGGGAGGGGGATTTGGGGTTCCTGTAGGAATTTGGGGTTCCTGTCAGAATTTGGGGTCCCTGTAGGAATTCCAAAGGGCTGCCCAGGGGCAGAGAGAGCTGGGAGGGGAATTTGGGGTTGCTGTAGGGATTTGGGGTTCCTGTAGGAATTCCAGAGGGCTGCACAGGCAGAGGCAGAGCTGGGAGGGGGATGTGGGGTTGCTGTAGGAATTTGGGGTTGCTGTAGGAATTTGGGGTTCCTGTAGGGATTTGGGGTTCCTGTAGGAATTCCAGAGGGCTGCACAGGCAGAGGCAGAGAGAGCCAGGACAGGAATTTGGGGTTCCTAAAGGAATTCGGGGTTCCTGAAGGAATTTGGGGTTCCTGTAGGGATTTGGGGTTCCTGTAGGGGTTCCAAAGGGCTGCCCAGGGGCACAGGGGCTGTGCCCAGGCTGATCCCAGCTGGGCTCTTGCAGGTGGTGCAGATGCAGTGCAACATGGAGCTGAACGAGGACAAGAGCCAGTGGCACGTGAGTGATGGGATCCTGCCCTGATCCCTGCTGATCCCGCTGGGAATGGGGCTGGGAAATGGGAAATGGGGCTGGGAAATGGGAAATGGGGCTGGGAATGGGAAATGGGAATGGGACTGGGAAATGGGAAATGGGGAATGGGAATGGGACTGGGAAATGGGAAATGGGGAATGGCACTGGGAAATCTGCCAGTGACACGTGAGTGATGGGATCCTGCCCTGATCCCTGCTGATCCCGCTGGGAATGGGGCTGGGAAATGGGATTGGAAATGGGGCTGGGAGTGGGATTGGAAATGGGAAATGGCACTGGGAAATCTGCCAGTGGCACGTGAGTGATTGGATCCTGCCCATCCCACTGGGAATGGGAAATGGGATTGGGAATGGGAAATGCGGCTGGGGATGGGAAATGGGGCTGGGAATGGGAATGGGATTGGGAAATGGGGCTGGGAAATGGCACTGGGAAATCTGACAGTGACACATGAGTGCCTGGATCCTGCCCATCCCACTGGGAATGGGGCTGGGAATGGGAAATGGGACTGGGATTGGGAATGGGATTGAGAAATGGAACTGGGAAATGGCCCTGGGAATGGAGCTGGGAAAGGGATTGGGAAATGGGAAATGGGATTGGGATTGGGAAGTGGGAAATGGGAATGGGAAATGGGACTAGGGAATGGGACTGGAAATGGCAATGGGAAATCTACCAGTAGCACGTGAATCTTTGGATCCTGCCCATCCTGCTGGTAATGGGGCTGGGAATGGGAATGGGACTGGATGGGAAATGGGACTGGGAATGGGAAATGGGAATGGGACTGGGAAATCAGACCAGGAAATCTGACTGGGAAATGGGAAAGGGAAATCTGCCAGGGATATCAGACTGGGAGGTCTGGCTGGGAAAGCCCTCAGGCAGTTTCTGTGGCACCCAAAGAACTCCCTGCTGTCCTGTGCAATGAAGGAATTCCCAAAGAAGCCACAAATTGCCCCGAGTTCCCAATTCCCCCAGTGCTCCCAGTGCTCCCAGTTCCCCCTGAGTTTCCAGTTCCCCCCGAGTTCCCAGTTCCCCCAGTGCTCCCAGTTCCCCCAGTGCTCCCAATTCCCCCAGTGCTCCCCATTCCCCTTGAGTTCCCAGTTCCCCCAGTGCTCCCAATTCCCCCAGTGCTCCCAATGCTCCCAATTCCCCCAGTGTTCCCAGTTCCCCAGTGCTCCCAGTCCCCCCAGTCCCCCCAGTTTCCCCAGTCCCCCAGTTTCCCCAGTCCCCCCAGTGCCCCCAGTCCCCCCATTTTCCCCAGTCCCCCCAGTGCTCCCATTTTCCCCAGTCCCTCCAGTCCCCCCCAGTTTCCCCAGTGCCCCCAGTCCCCCCAGTTTCCCCATTCCCCCCAGTTTCCCCAGTCCTCCCAGTCCCCCCAGTCCCCCCATTCCCCCAGTTTCCCCAGTCCCCCCAGTCCCTGCCCAGTCCCCCAGTCCCCCCATTTTCCCCAGTCCCCCAGTTTCCCCAGTCCCCCCAGTGCCCCCATTTTCCCCAGTGCCCCCAGTTTCCCCAGTGCCCCCAGTCCCCCCAGTCCCCCCATTCCCCCAGTTCCCCCCGTCCCCGGCGCCCTGCAGGGCTCCCATGGACAGGCTCTGTGGTGTCTCTGCAGCTGACGCTCCTGCTGATCCTGGAGGACAAGCTGCACCGCCAGCTCAGCTACGACCTGCTGCCCAGTACGTGTGCAGGGAGGGCAGGGCAGGGTGGGCTCCATCCCCTGGGGGGCTGGGGGAGCCCCTGCTGGGCATGGAACGGGCCGGCTTCCCAGACAGATTCCCTGCGTTTCTCTTCCTCCCCTCTCATCCTCCTCTTCTTCCTCTTCCCGTGCCTTTCCTCTCATCCTCCTCTTCTTCCTCTTCCCGTGCCTTTCCTCTCATCCTCCTCTTCTTCCTCTTCCCGTGCCTTTCCTCTCATCCTCCTCTTCTTCCTCTTCCCGTGCCTTTCCTCTCATCCTCCTCTTCTTCCTCTTCCCGTGCCTTTCCTCTCATCCTCCTCTTCTTCCTCTTCCCGTGCCTTTCCTCTCTTCCTCCTCTTCTTCCTCTTCCCGTGCCTTTCCTCTCTTCTCTTTCTCCCTCCTCCCCTTCTCCTTTCCTTTCCTTTCCTTTCCTTTCCTTTCCTTTCCTTTCCTTTCCTTTCCTTTCCTTTCCTTTCCTTTCCTTTCCTTTCCTTTCCTTTCCTTTCCTTTCCTTTCCTTTCCTTGACCTTTCCTTTCTCCTTTCCTTTCCTTTCCTTTCCTTTCCTTTCCTTTCCTTTCCTTTCCTTTTTCCTTTCCTTTCCTTTTTCCTTTCCTTTTTCCTTTCCTTTCCTTTTTCCTTTCCTTTCCTTTCCTTTTTCCTTTCCTTTCCTTTCCTTTCCTTTTTCCTTTCCTTTCCTTTTTCCTTTCTGTTCCTTTTTCCTTACCCCTTTCCTTTCCTTTCCTTTCCTTTCCTTTCCTTTCCTTTCCTTTCTCCTTTCCTTTCCTTTCCTTTCCTTTCCTTTCCTTTCCTTTCCTTTCCTTTCCTTTCCTTTCCTTTCCTTTCCTTTCCTTTCCCAGAACTTTCCTTTCCCCTTTCCTTGCTGAGGAATGGTGTGTGGGAGCTGCTCCTGCCCCAGGCTGTGCCCTGCTCAGCCACACCAAGCCTTTCCTGGTGGCACATTGTCCAGAGCTGTGTTTGGGACCTCACTCCCCCATTTCCTGGTGGCACATTATCCAAATCTGTGTTTTGGGGGCTCTCAGGAGCCTCACTCCCCCATTTCCTGGTGGCACATTGTCCAAATCTGTGTTTTGGGAGCTCTCAGGAACCTCACTCCCCATTTCCTGGTGGCACATTGTCCAGAGCTGTGTTTTGGGACCTCACTCCCCATTTCCTGGTGGCACATTGTCCAGAGCTGTGTTTTGGGAGCACGGGAACCTCGTTCCCCATCCCTGCCCCATTTCCCAGCTCTGCCAGGTTCAGGAGCTCCCCGAGCTGCGTCCATGCTCGTGTTCTCCTGTTCTCCTTGTCTCTGCAGCTGACAACTCCAAGGATTTGGCCACAGAGCTGGTGCATTATGGGTTCATCCACGAGGTGAGTCTCTGCTGTCCCCACATCCGCAGCTCCTCCAGCCCCTCAGGATTTCTGGGATTTCTGGGATTTCTGGGATCTCTGCTGCCTACAGGCTCTGCTCCAGGGGGATCTGCCCACTGGGGCACGTGTTAATTAGCTGGAGCTTAAATAATTCTGAGCGGGAGGACCAGGGCAGCTCCCAGGGGAGGAGGCTGATTCCTCACTTGAGGCATCATGGAACCATTCCTTTGGGAAAAGACCTCCAAGATTAACGAGTCCAAACGTGCGAGGCCACCCTGATGATGTCCCCAGGTGCCACATCCAGGTGTTAATGGAACTCTGCCAGGGCTGCAAAGCCCAATCCAGGAGGAATTTCCCCAATATCCCACCCTGAGCTCCCCTGGCCCAGCCTGAGGCCGTTCCCTCTGCTCCTGTCCCTGTTCCTGGGATCAGATCCCAAATCCCCCCAGCTGCAGCCCCTGCCCAGCTCCCTCAGGGATTCTCCATTCCCTTCCCAGCTCCTCAGGAATCTCAGGAATTCTCCATTCCCTTCCCAGCTTCCTCAGCCTCTACTGATATATATTATATTATATTATATTATATTATATTATATTATATTATATTATATTATATTATATTATATTATATTATATTATATTATATTATATTATATTATATTATATTATATTATATTGATACACTAAAACTATACTAAAGAAAGAGAAAGGAGACATCAGAAGGCTAGAGAAGAAAGGAATGGATAATGAAATCTTGTGGCTGCTCACAGCCTGGACACAGCTGGCTGGGATTGGCCATTTTTAGTTATGATGTTTTCTGTAAAATCCCTTTTCCAGGATTTTTCTCCTGAGAAGCTGAGAGGCCTCAGAAATGAAATGTAACCAATGGTTATCTGCTGCTGTGGGGTGCAACAGGTGCATCTGGGATTGGTGTGGTTGTTTTTAATTAATGGCCAATCACAGCACAGCTGTATCAGAGTCTCTGGTCAGTCACAAGATTTTATCATCATTCTTTTCCCTTTCCCTTTCCCTTTCCCTTTCCCTTTCCTTTCCTTTCCTTTCCTTTCCTTTCCTTTCCTTTCCTTTCCTTTCCTTTCCTTTCCTTTCCTTTCCTTTCCTTTCCTTTCCTTTCCTTTCCCCTTGCCTTTCCTTTCATCCTTTTCCTTTTCCTTTCCTTTCCTTTTCCCTCTGATAAAACCCTTTCTTCTATTATTTCAGTATAGTTTTAATATACTATATATCATAAAATAATAAATCAGCCTTCTGAAAACATGGAGTCGAGATTCTCACCTCTTCCCTCATCCTGGGACCCCTGTGAACACCACCACAGCCATTAATTAAAAACAATTCACGTGCTGGGTAAACAGTTCTCCAAATCACATCCCAAAGCAGCAAAACACGGAGGAGCTGAAGCTTCCCAGCCCCTCAGGAGAAAAACCCTGGGCAAAGGGTGTGGTGGTGTTTGCAGGGGTCCCAGGACGAGGATCTGACTCCATGTTTCAGAAGGTTGATTTATTATTTTATGATAAATTTTACGATATATTCTTTTTAATGCATATTTGAATCATATTGTATGATATATTATTTTGCGGTATGTATCATGTTAAAAGAAAATGATATATTAAAACTGTACTAAAGAATAGAAGAAAAGGATTTCATCAGAAGGCTTGCAAGGAATGGAAAGGAAAATGGAATGATAATTATTATTTTATTTATTTATTTATTTATTATTATTATAATTTATTATATCTATAATATATTAATTATAATATAATATAATATAATATAAATATTATTTATTATAATTAATAAATTATAATAATATTTTTATAATAAATAATAAATATTATTTATTATAAAATATATTATAATTATTAATTATAATATAATATAAATATAATATAATATATTTATTATTATTATATCAACAATATATTAATATTATATTTATTATTGTAATTTATATTGCACATTATTATTTATAATAATATATAATATATATTATAATTTATTATATATTATTATAATTTTTATATTAATATATATTTATTATTAAAATTTATTATAATATTAATTATTATATATTTTTATATATTTTTATTTATTATTATATAACTATAATAATAAATACGAATAATAATAATAATAATAATAATAATAATAATAATAATAATAATAATAATAATAATAATAATAATAATAATAATAAATGACCAGAGACTCTGAGACAGCTGGACTATGATTGGCCATTAATTAAAACAAACCACATGAGACCAATCCCAGATGCACCTGTTGCATTCCACAGCAGCAGATAACCATTGTTCACTAATTATTATAATGTTAATTGTTGTTCACATTTTGCTCCTGAGGCCTCTCGGTTTCTCAGGAGGAAAAATCCTCAGGAAAGGCTTTTTCATGAAACACGTCTGTGACCAAGGGGTTTTTCAGCATTTTTCTCTGTGCTTGCAGGACGACTGTGAGAAGCTGGCCGCGTTCCTGGAGAGCGCCTTCCACAAGCACCGCTCCCAAGCCCTGTGAGCCCAGCCCAGGGGACTGAGGCGCCCCAGGAGGACCCCAAAGGGCTCCCCTGCCCCACCCGGCCCAGCAGGACCCACCTGGGCCCAGGGGGACTCGCCCAGGCCGTGCTCAGGGGCTCGGCCAAGCCCAGGAATTCCGTCCTGGGACGTGCTCTGGTCCCTGCTCCGAGGGGAGCTGTGGGGAGGGGGCAGCACCCCCGGCAGCCCCGTCCCAGGGGGGTTTGGGAGCTGCTGCAGGAGCCCCCAGCCGGGTCCATTTCCCTCTGGGAAGGATCAGCCCCTCTCCTGCAGCTCCCACAGCTGATTTCTCCCCCCTTTGCCGTCTGGAGTGCTCCTTGCTGAGGGGAGGAGGGAGAGGAGGAGCAGGCTTGGAGAGCCCCGTGGAGCTTCCCATCTGCCACATTCCGCTCTGGACCCCGAAATTCTCCAGGTTTGGGGGTCTCCAGTGTGCTGCCTGTGCTCAGAGCCTTCCCCGTGAGCTGGGACTGTGTGAGCTGTACATGGCACGAGAAGGAATCCCTGCCCCACCACCGGAAATCTCATGGATGCTCCACAGAACCCTTGTCATGCCCCAGCTCCCCCTACAGCCTTCCACAATCTCTTGGAGAGAGTCCTGGAGCCTGTTCCTGCCCGGCCTGGAGATGGGGCACTGCCCCTGGCACCACCCCAGGGCTGCCCTTTGCCAGGGACACACGGGGAGAGAACTGCAGACAGGAACTGTCCCTGTGCAGGAGCCGTGCGGGGCTGGGCCAGCTGTGCCAGGGAAAACTGCTCTGAAATCCTGCTCTGTGCTGGGCCAGGGAGAGCTGCTCTGAAATCCTGCTCTGTGCTGGGCCAGGGAAAACTGCTCTGAAATCCTGCTCTGTGCTGGGCCAGTGCTGCTCCTGCTGCTCCTGCTGTGCCAGGCAGAGCTGCTCTGAAATCCTGCTCCTGCTGCTCCTGCTGTGCCATAGGAAACTGGCTCTGAAATCCTGCTCCTGTTCCTGCTGTGCCATAGGAAACTGCTCTGAAATCCTGCTCTGTGCTGGGCCAGTGCTGCTCCTGCTGTGCCATAGGAAACTGGCTCTGAAATCCTGTTCCTGCTGCTCCCACTGTGCCAGGGAGAGCTGCTCTGAAATCCTGCTGCTCCTGCTGCTTCTGGGAAAGCTGCTCTGAAATCCTGCTCCTGCTGCTCCTGCTGAGCCATAGGAAGCTGGCTCTGGAATCTGCTCTGTGCTGGTGCTGCTCCTGCTGTGCCATAGGAAAGAGGCTCTGGCACCCTGGTCCACGCCGCTCTGTGCCAGGGTTTGTCCCAGCGCTGCTCCTGCTGCTGCTCCTACCAGGGAAAGCTGCTCTGAAATCCTGCTCGGTGCTGTGCCAGTGTTGCTGCTGCTGTGCCATGGAAAATCCACCTCTGGCATCCTGCTCTGTGCTGGTGCTGCTCCTGCTGCTCTCTCTGTGCCAGGGAAATCCAGCTCTGGTGCTGTCCTGGTGATCTGCGCCACGCTGGTGTTGCATCCACTGCTCTGTGCCAGTGCTACTGCTGTGCCAGGGAAATCTGTGCTCTGCCAGTGCTGCTGCTGCTGTGCCAGGGAAAACTGGCTCTGGCACCCTGCTCTGTGCTCTGCCAGTGCTGCTATGCCAGGAAAATCTGTGCTCTGCTGGTGCTGCTGCTGCTGCTGTGCCAGGGAAATCTGTGCTCTGCCAGTGCTGCTGCTGCTGTGCCAGGGAAATCTGGCTCTGGCACCCTGCTCTGTGCTCTGCCGGTGCTGCTGTGCCAGGGAACTCTGTGCTCTGCCAGTGCTGCTGCTGCTGCTGTGCCAGGGAAATCTGTGCTCTGTGCTCTGCCAGTGCTGCTGTGCCAGGGAAATCTGTGCTCTGTGCTCTGCTGGTGCTGCTGCTGCTGTGCCAGGGAAATCTGCCCCTGGCACCCTGCTCTGTGCTCTGCCAGTGCTGCTGTGCCAGGGAAAACTGGCTCTGGCACCCTGCTCTGTGCTCTGCTGGTGCTTCTCCTGCTGTGCCAGGGAAATCTGCCCCTGGCACCCTGCTCTGCTCTATGTTGAGCCAGTGCTGCTCCTGCTGTGCAGGGGAAGCAGGCTCTGGCACCCTGCTGGTGTTCTGTGCTGGTGCTGCCTGGCTGTGCTGTGGGAATGCAGCTCTGACACCCTGCTCTGTGCTGAGCTGGTGCTGCTGCTGCTGTGCCAGGGAAATCTGCCCCTGGCACCCTGCTCTGCTCTATGCTGGTGCTGCTCCTGTTGCTCCCTCTGTGCTGGGGGAATGCGGTGCTGTCCTGGTGATCTGCACCATGCTGGTGTTCCATGCCAGTGCCCTGTGCCAGTGCTGCTGCTGCTGTGCCAGGGGAATCTGCCCCTGGCCTCCTGCTCTGCTGCTGCTGAGCCAGTGCTGCTGCTGCTGCTGCTCCCCCTGTGCCATGGGAAGCTGCCTCTGAAATCTGCTCCCTGCAGGAGCTGCGTGTGCCACCGCCTGCCCTGCGCTGCTCCTGCTCCAGCTGCGTCCCACTGGGATTTCATCCACGCTCAGCCAGCTCGGGCTGCACTCCTGGCTTGGGCTGCAGCCCCAGCAGTGCTCCAGCAGTGCTGCATTCCCAGCAGTGCTGCATTCCCAGCAGTGCTGCATCCCCAGCAGTGCTGCATCCCCAGCAGTGCTGCATTCCCAGCAGTGCTGCATCCCCAGCCCTGTTCCATCCCCAGCAGCGCTGCATCCCCAGCAGTGCTGCATCCCCAGCAGTGCTGCATCCCCAGCCCTGCTCCATCCCCAGCAGTGCTGCATCCCCAGCCCTGCTCCATCCCCAGCAGTGCTGCATTCCCAGCAGTGCTGCATCCCCAGCCCTGCTCCATCCCCAGCCCTGCTCCATCCCCAGCAGTGCTGCATTCCCAGCAGTGCTGCATTCCCAGCAGTGCTGCATCCCCAGCCCTGCTCCATCCCCAGCAGTGCTCCATTCCCAGCAGTGCTGCATTCCCAGCCCTGTTCCATACCCAGCAGTGCTGCATTCCCAGCAGTGCTGCATTCCCAGCAGTGTTCCATCCCCAGCAGTGCTGCATCCCCAGCCCTGCTCCATCCCCAGCCCTGCTCCATCCCCAGCAGTGCTGCATCCCCAGCAGTGCTGCATTCCCAGCCCTGCTCCATCCCCAGCAGTGCTCCATCCCCAGCAGTGCTGCATTCCCAGCAGTGCTGCATTCCCAGCAGTGCTGCATTCCCAGCCCTGCTCCATCCCCAGCAGTGCTCCATCCCCAGCAGTGCTGCATCCCCAGCAGTGCTGCATCCCCAGCAGTGCTGCATTCCCAGCCCTGTTCCATCCCCAGCAGTGCTGCATCCCCAGCAGTGCTGCATCCCCAGCAGTGCTCCATCCCCAGCCCAGCTCCATCTCCAGCAGTGCTGCATCCCCAGCAGTGCTGCATTCCCAGCAGTGCTGCATCCCCAGCAGTGCTGCATTCCCAGCAGTGCTGCATCCCCAGCAGTGCTGCATTCCCAGCAGTGCTGCATTCCCAGCCCTGCTCCATTCCCAGCCCTGCTCCATCCCCAGCCCTGCTCCATCCCCAGCCCTGTTCCATTCCCAGCAGTGCTGCATCCCCAGCAGTGCTGCATCCCCAGCCCTGTTCCATTCCCAGCAGTGCTCCATCCCCAGCCCTGCTCCATCCCCAGCAGTGCCAATGCCCCACCTGACAAATCAATAAAGCCCATCCCCACAAATCAATAAACCATTCCCACTGTTCCAGCCTGCTCGTGATTCCTGACTCCCAAGGGGGAGGGATGCAGGGACACCTCACGGCTGCCCATTCCCCCTGGAGGGCCCTGCTCCTGATTCCTGACTCCGGGGAAGCCAAAGCGAGGAATGCAGGGACACTTCCAGCAGCCCAATCCCAATGAGGACTCTGCTCCATCCTACTCGTGATTCCTGATTCCCAAGGGGGAGGGATGCAGGGAACCTCCAGCTGCCCATTCCCAGTCCCTCCAGAGCAGCCCCCCTGGGGCCCTGACATTCCAGCACATTCCAGCACATCCCAGCCCATCCCTGGCCCTTCCTGGAACAGCCGTCCACTAAATCCATGGATTCCAGGGGTCCAACACAGCCCTAAATCCATGGATTCCAGGGGTCCAACACAGCCCTAAATCCATGGATTTCAGGTGTCCAACACAGCCCTAAATCCATAGGTTTAACAGGGTCCAACACAGCCCTAAATCCATGGATTTGAGGGGTCCCACACAGCCCTAAATCCATGGGTTTCAGGGGTCCAACACAGCCCTAAATCCATGGATTTAACCGGGTCCAACACAGCCCTAAATCCATGGAGTTAATGGGGTCCAACACAGCCCTAAATCCATGGATTGAACGGGGTCCAACACTGCCCTAAATCCATGGATTGAACGGGGTCCAACACTGCCCTAAATCCATGGATTTAACGGGTACAACACAGCCCTAAATCCATGGATTTAATGAGGTCCAACACAGCCCTAAATCCATGGATTTAACAGCCTCCAACACAGCCCTAAATCCATGGATTTAATGAGGTCCAACACAGCCCTAAATCCATGGATTTAACAGCCTCCAACACAGCCCTAAATCCATGGAGTTAATGGGGTCCAACACAGCCCTAAATCCATGGATTTAACAGCCTCCAACACAGCCCTAAATCCATGGATTTAACAGCCTCCAACACAGCCCTAAATCCATGGAATTTACAAGGGCCCACACAGGCCTAAATCCATGGATTTAACGGGGTCCAACACAGCCCTAAATCCATGGATTTCAGGGTCCAACACAGCCCTAAATCCATGGATTTAACAGCCTCCAACACAGCCCTAAATCCATGGAGTTAATGGGATCCAACACAGCCCTAAATCCATGGATTTAATGAGGTCCAACACAGTCCTAAATCCATGGAATTTACAAGGGCCCACACAGCCCTAAATCCATGGATTTCAGGGGTCCAACACAGCCCTAAATCCATGGATTCCAGGGGTCCCACAGAGCCCTAAATCCATAGATTTCAGGGGTCCCACACAGCCCTAAATCCATGGATTTCAGGGGTCCAACACAGCCCTAAATCCATGGATTTAATGGGTTCCAACACTGCCCTAAATCCATGGATTTCAGGGGTCCAACACTGCCCTAAATCCATGGATTTAACGGGGTCCAACCTGACCCTAAATCCATGGAATTTACAAGGGCCCACACAGCCCTAAATCCATGGATTTAACGGGGTCCAACACAGCCCTAAATCCATGGAATTTACAAGGGCCCACACAGGCCTAAATCCATGGATTTAATGGGGTCCCACACAGCCCTAAATCCATGGATTTCAGGGGTCCCACACAGCCCTAAATCCATGGATTTCAGGGGTCCCACACAGCCCTAAATCCATGGATTTCAGGGGTCCAACACAGCACTAAATCCATGAATTTCAGGGGTCCAACACAGACCTAAATCCATGGATTTAACGGGGTCCAACACAGCCCTAAATCCATGGATTTTATGAGGTCCAACACAGCCCTAAATCCATGGATTTCAGGTGTCCAACACAGCCCTAAATCCATGGATTTCAGGGGTCCAACACAGCGCTAAATCCATGAATTTCAGGGGTCCAACACAGCCCTAAATCCATGGATTTAACGGGGTCCAACCCAGCCCTAAATCCATGGATTTCAGGGGTCCAACACAGCCCTAAATCCATGGAATTTACAAGGGCCCACACTGCCCTAAATCCATGGATTTAATGAGGTCCAACACTGCCCTAAATCCATGGATTTCAGGGGTCCCACACAGCCCTAAATCCATGAATATCTGGGGTCCAACCCAGCCCTAAATCCATGGATTTCTTGGGCTCCTCCCAGCCCTGCCCAGCCCACTCTGGACACTCCCAGGGTTCCAGGACCACCCTGCCAGGGACAATTCCTAATTCCCAAAATCCCATTTATCCCTGGGTCCTGTCCCTCCATCCCCTGTCCCCAGTCCCTCTCCAGCTCTCCTGGAGCCCCTTTAGGTCCTAGAAGGGCTCTGAGGTGTCTCTGGAATGTTCTGGAATGTTCTCCTCCCCACATGAGCATTCCCAGCCCGGCTCCATTTCCGGTGCCCTCGGCCCTGCACTGGAATTTGGGCACCAGGGACAGTGCCAAGGTGTGAAAAATGTTATTGATTTTTTGTTAAAATTTTAGAGTTTTAATAGTAATGGAAATAGCGGTAAAAATTAGAATAATAAGAGATAAAAATATAATAAATAAATAAAAGTACAACTACAATATTGTAAATATAAATAATAATATAAATGTAAATAAATAAAATATAGATATAAAATTTTAAAATAATCAATAAGAATAAATAAGAAATGAAAATAAATAAATAAAAATTAATTAAAATAAATAAAATTAGCAATAAACAAGATAAAAATGAATTAATAAAAATAAATAAACTAAAAATAAAATAAAACTGAAAATAAATAAATAAAAATAAAAATAAACTAAAAATAAAATAAAACTGAAAATAAATAAATAAAAATAAAAAGAAATGAAAATAAAAGTAAATAAATAAAAAGAAATAAAAAGAAAAAAAAAGAAATGAAAATAAAATAAAATAAAAGTAAATAAATAAAAAGAAATAAAAAGAAAATAAAAATAAATGAAAATAAAATAAAAGTAAATAAATAAAAATAAATAACATAAATAAAAATAAATAAATAAAAATGAAAAGTAAAGAATTGTGGAATTTGGGTGCCTGGCACTCTGCCACAAGGCACACCTTGCCAACAAAGGATTAACCCTTAAAAGCAGGAGCCTGTTGCATATTCATAGAGCTCATACATTATTCATGGCATGTTCCTGCTTAATTTTAGCTCCCTCCTCATCTTGTAAATCAACTTCCTTGGTCCCCCAAAATCTGAGTTTTCCCAATAAGGAGGCAGTAACTCTTCTCTTGAGAACTTGGTGTCTGGTTTTGTAATCTCTATACAAATAATTTCTTGATTATCTTTTCCATTCCTTGGGCTAGTTACAAAAAGTATCTTACATCACACAGTTCCTATTTTAATGTTATGCTGTAGCCTAAAAAGTATATTTACCACACTACTTAAAAGAGATTAATACAGCACTAATTAAAAGAGATTAATACAGCACAACTTTCCAACATAACACATACAATATTCATACTAATATTGGCGTGAAAAACACCAATCACTTGTTTTTTTAAATTTTAAAAGTTTAATAGTAATAAAACGGTTATAAAAATAGCAATATAATTAGAGTAATAAAAATTTGAACAATTACGATTAAGACAATGCTATCGGGCTGCTATCTGGTGTGAGTTCTCTCTTTAAAAAAGTATCTTACACAGCATAGTTTCTATTTTAACATTATGTTATAACCTAAAGCTATATTTAACACACTACTTAATAAAATTAATACAGTATAACTTTCTAATTGTGAAAAACGCCAATCACTTGTATTTAAAATTTTAAAAGTTTAATAGTAATAAAAGGGTTATAAAAATAGCAATATATTTAGAGCAATAATAATTTGGACAATTTGGATTAGGACAATACAAGACAATAAAAACAAAGAGTTAGGGACGGTCTGGGAACCTTTTCTGGGCAAAATAAGCCCAAAAAAGGACCCACATTAACAGAGGATTAACCCTTAAAAGCAACAGCCTGTTGCATATTCATGCACCTCATCCATGATGCATAAATTCCATTCAAACACAGGATTCTGTCTGGGCAGTGTCAGCTTCTTCCTCTGAATCCTGACGGTGTCTCAGGGCTGAGCGAGGCAGGAAGTTCCTTTCTTCTGATAATGGAGCAATAAATTCTCTTTCTCTGAAAGATCCAGGTGTCCTGTGGCTGCTGTCTCTGTGCTAGTACCGCATTCCTCTCTTTAAAAAAATATCCCACATACATAGTTTCTATTTTAACATTTTGTTATAATCTAAAACTGCATTTAACACACTACTTAAAAAAATTAATACAGCATAACTTTCTAACATAACACATATAATATTCATTTGAATATTTGCCACAAGCCAATAATAAAATACGCATTTTTCACACCTCGAATTTATGATTTGTTGATCCGGCCCAACCCCGTGACACATCCAGCAGCTCCCGGTGGCCACGGCCGGCACCGGGGTGGGGTTCCGCGGCTCCCTCCCCTGGCTGCGACCAAAGGCCACCCGGTACCAGTCGGATTTAGCACGTTCCATGCCGTTTTAGCTGGGTTTACCCGGGTTTAACGCATTTCAACTGGCTTGAGCCCGTTTTATTCGGGGCCCGGCCAGGCGACACCGGCAGCTTTGGACCTTCCCTGGCTGGCACTGCCGGCCCAGCACCGATCCAGCGGCGCTGAGGCCGCAGCAGCCGCCCTAGAGCCCCGTTACCCCGGGATTACACCATATTATATTTTATTTTGTTTTGTTTTGTCTCGTCTCCCCTCTCCGGCGGCGCCTGGGCGGCGCCATCTTGGCAACCGCTGGGGTCATATGACACCTTCCCCCGAGCTCTCGCGAGACTTCTCCTCGCGAGGGCCTCCAGTCCCGTTTCCCGCGCGCGCGCGCGCGCGCCCCGCGGAGCTCTCGCGAGAGCCGCGTGCTGCAGACGGGAAGGACAAGATGGCGGCGACAACGACGATGGCGCTGGTGAGGGGGCGGCAGGACCGGGCCGGGCCGGGTTGGGCTGAGCCACGCTGGGCAGGGCTGGGCCGGGCCGGGATACAGCGCGGCCGCCAAGCGGATCCACCCGGGCCGGGCCCTCTCCGGGCGCGCGGCTCTGAGGGGACGGCGCCGTTTCCCACCGGCTCTCTTGTGGGCTCTCCCGTTGCGGCCTTCTCCGTGTGGAGAAGGTGCCGGTGTTCCCTCGCGCCGTCCTGAGCTGCCGCCCCGCCGTGGCTGTCCCAGGCATTGAGGGGAGCGGGCTCGGCCGTCCCGTGCTGGGTGCCGTGCATGCAGGCCGCTGTTCTGGGCTGCTGCTGCCAAATGCATCGCTTTAGACGCTTCTTTGGGCTCCCAAATGCATCGCTTTAAACGCTTCTCTGGGCTCCCAAATGCATCGCTTTAAACGCTTCTCTGGCTCCCAAATGCATCGCTTTAAACGCTTCTTTGGGCTCCCAAATCCATTATTTTAAACGCTGCTCTTTGGGCTCCCGTTCCCAAATCCATCGCTTTAAACGATGCTCTATGGGCTCCTATTTCCGAATGCATCGCTTTAAACGCTGCTCTTTGGGGTTTAAATGCTCGGTGTTGGGCTAGGTTTCACAAATCCATTGTTTTAAACGCTGCTCTTTGGTCTCCCATTCCCAAATTCGCCTTTTTAAATACTCGGTGTTGAGATAGGTGTCCCAGATTTTAAATGCTGCTTTTGGGCTCCCGTTCCCAAATCCCCCTGTTTAAGTGCTCGGTGTTGGGCTGGATTTCCCAAATCCGCTTGTTTAAATGCGGCTTTTTCTCCTATTCCCAAATTTGCCTCTTGAAATGCACACTTTTGGGCTAGGTTTCCTAAATCCATTGCTTTAAATGTTGTTTTTGGGCCCCCATTCCCAAATTCACCTGTTTAAACGCTCCATGTTGAGCTAGGTTTCCCAAATTCATTGCTTTAAAACGCTGCTCTTTGGGCCCCCATTCCCAAATTCACCTGTTTAAGTGCTCGGTTTTGGGCTGGGTTTCCCAAATCCGTTTCTTTAAGTGCTCTTTTTGGGCTCCCGTTCCCAAATTTGCCTGTTTAAATGTGCACTTTTGGGCTGGGTTTCCCAAATCCACTTGTTTAAATGCTTCAGTTGGGCTCCCGTTCCCAAATCTGCCTGGATAAAACCCGAACTCCCTGGTTTTCTGGGAGTTCTTTGTGAGTTCTGGGACATTTCTTGCTCTTTGTTGGGTGGCTGCAGGTGAGAGAGAGTAGGAATCTCGGGGGGGGGCTGTTGGTTTTTGTGAAAAACGCCAATCACTCGTTTTTAAAATTTTAAAAGTTTAATAGTAATAAAATAGTTATAAAAATAGTGTGAAAAACGCCAATCACTTGTTTTAAAATTTTAAAAGTTTAATAGTAATGAAATGGTTATAAAAATAGTGGGAAAAACGCCAATCACTTGTTTTAAAATTTTAAAAGTTTAATAGTAACAGAATGGTTATAAAAATAGTGTGAAAAACGCCAATAATTTGTTTTTAGAATTTTAAAAGTTTAATAGTAATAAAATGGTTATAAAAATAGTAATATAATTAGAGTAATAAAAATTTGGACAATTGGGATTTAGGAAAATACAAGACAATAGACACAAAGAGTTATGGACAGTCTGGGTCCCTTGGTGTGCTGTGGGACAGAGCAGGGCCAGGGGATGTGTGTGGGATTCTCAGGGATTCCAGGATGGAATTCCCTTGGTGTGCTGTGTGGGATCCTCAGGGATTCCAGGATGGAATTCCCTTGGTGTGCCTGTGGGATTCTCAGGGATTCCTGGATGACTCCTTGGTGTGCTGTGTGGGATTCTCAGGGATTCCAGGATGGAATTCCCTTGGTGTGCTGTGTGGGATTCTCAGGGATTCCAGGATCCTGCTCCTTGGTGTGCTGTGTGGGATTCTCAGGGATTCCAGGATGGAATTCCCTTGGTGTGCTGTGTGGGATTCTCAGGGATTCCAGGATGGAATTCCCTTGGTGTGCTGTGTGGGATTCTCAGGGAATACAGGATGGAATTCCCTTGGTGTGCTGTGTGGGATTCTCAGGGATTCCAGGATGGAATTCCCTTGGTGTGCCTGTGGGATTCTCAGGGAATGCAGGATCCTGCTCCTTGGTGTGTTCTGTGGGATTCTCAGGGATTCCAGGATGGAATTCCCTTGGTGTGCTGTGTGGGATTCTCAGGGATTCCAGGATCCTGCTCCTTGGTGTGCTGTGTGGGATTCTCAGGGATTCCAGGATGGAATTCCCTTGGTGTGCCTGTGGGATTCTCAGGGAATGCAGGATCCTGCTCCTTGGTGTGCTGTGTGGGATTCTCAGGGATTCCAGGATGGAATTCCCTTGGTGTGCTGTGTGGGATTCTCAGGGAATACAGGATGGAATTCCCTTGGTGTGCTGTGTGGGATTCTCAGGGAATGCAGGATGGAATTCCCTTGGTGTGCTGTGTGGGATTCTCAGGGATTCCAGGATGGAATTCCCTTGGTGTGCTGTGTGGCCAGGTGGAGATGGCATCTGGGGACATGGTCACTGCTGGCCTGGGCAGTGCTGGGGACAGTTGGACTCGGTGGGCTCTGAGGGCTTTTCCAATCTCAGCAATTCCATGTTTCCATATGGCTTTGCTGGTCTGGTTTTCAGCTTGGCTGTGGCTTTGTGCCCTGCGGTTTGCAGCTCCAGCCACCTCTGTTCCTGTGTCCCTGTTGGTGCCCTGGTGTTGCCATCATCCCTGTGTCCCTCGTGTCCCACTGCAGCCATGGGGAGCACCTGCAGCTCTGGGTGTTGTCCAGGGTTTTGTCTTGGGAGGGTTTGGTTTCTGTCTGCTCCGTGTTCCCAATCCTCCACAGGGAACTGGAGGCTGCACAAAACCAAGGGTCTCATTCTTGCTGTAAAATAAGAGTCAGGGTATTGGGGATATATCCTGCAGGGGAAGGTGTGGCTGCCCCATCCCTGGCAGCGTCCAAGGCCAGGTTGGAGCAGCCTGGGCTGGTGGAAAGTGTCCCTGCCATGGCAGGGTGTGCAATGGGATGAGCTTTGAGGTCCCTCCAGCCCAAACCATTCCATGATTCAGGACAATCCAGGAGAGGCTTTGCTTTTGGTTGTGGCTCCTGCTCTGAACAGAGGTTTTTCTGTGGATCTTTTCACTCAGGCAAAGGCTTCTCACAGGAACATGTCCAGGACCACAGGCTGGGGTTTGTCCCCGCTGGTTTTTGGGTGGTTGATGGGAGATGTGGAGCAGAGAGAAGGAACCAGCTCTGTTTTGGTGCATGGTGCCACCAGAACCCGTGTGAGCACCAAAGGCAGGGCCAGGTCCTGCTGCTGGGGCTGAGCTGGGGGTGCCAGCTCTGGATCAGGCTGGAATTGGGGTCCCAGCACCGGGCTGCTGAATTGCTGGAGTCAGTCATGGTTCAAATAGTGCTGGAGTCATGGTCCCAGCAGTGGGATCTCTGTGCTGGAGTCAGTCATGGTCCCAGCAGTGGGATCTCTGTGCTGGAGTCAGTCATGGTCCCAGCAGTGGGATCACCATCCTGGAGTCATGGTCCCAGCAGTGGGATCACTGTGCTGGAGTCAGTCATGGTTCAAATAGTGGGATCACTGTGCTGGGGTCATGGTTCCAGCAGTGGGATCACTGTGCTGGAGTCATGGTCCCAGTAGTGGGATCACCATGCAGGAGTCAGTCATGGTTCCAGCAGTGGGATCCATGGTCTGAGCAGTACCGGGCTGCTGAATTGCTGGAGTCGGTCATGGTTGAAATAGTGGGATCATCATCCTGGAGTCATGGTCCCAGCAGTGGGATCACCATCCTGGAGTCATGGTCCCAGCAGTGGGATCACTGTACTGGAGTCAGTCATGGTCCCAGCAGTGGGATTGCCATCCTGGAGTCATGGTCCCAGCAGTAGAATCACTGTGCTGGAGTCAGTCATGGTTGAAATAGTGGGATCACTGTGCTGGAGTCATGGTCCCAGCAGTGGGATCCATGGTCTGAGCAGTGGGATCACCATGCTGGAGTCAGTCATGGTTCCAGCAGTGGGATCCCTGATCCCAGCAGTGGGATTACCATGCAGGAGTTAGTCATGGTTCCAGCAGTGGGATCCCTGGTTCCAGCAGTGGGATCCATGGCCCCAGCAGTGGGATCACCATGCAGGAGTCAGTCATGGTTGCAGCAGTGGGCTCCCTAGTTCCAGCAGTGGGATTGCTGATCCCAGCAGTGGGATCACTGTGCTGGAGTCATGGTCCCAGCAGTGGGATCCCTGGTCTGAGCAGTGGGATCAGCACGCAGGAGTCAGTCATGGTCCCAGCAGTGGGATCCCTGATCCCAGCAGTGGGATTGCTGTGCTGGAGTCAGTCATGGTCCCAGCAGTGGGATCCCTGGTCCCAACAGTGGGATCCCTGGTTCCAGCAGTGGGATCAGCATGCAGGAGTTAGTCATGGTTGCAGCAGTGGGATCCCTGGTTCCAGCAGTGGGATTCCTGGTTCCAGCAGTGGGATCCCTGGTTCCAGCAGTGGGATTCCTGGTTCCAGCAGTGGGATCCCTGGTTCCAGCAGTGGGATTGCTGGGCTGCCATCCTAGTTCCAGAGAGCTGGAGAGGGACTTCAGATGAGGGCTTGGAGTGACAGGAGAGAGAGGAATGGCTTCCCACTGGCACAGGGCAGGGTCACTTGGGGTATTTGGGAGAGATCCTTCCCTGTGAGGGTGGGCAGGCCCTGGCAGTGCTTGCCAGAGAAGCTGTGGCTGCCCCATCCCTGGAGGTGTTCCAGGCTGGGTTGGACAGGGCTTGGAGCAGCCTGGGATGGTGGAAGGTGTCCCTGCCATGGCAGGGGGTGGCACTGTGTGAGCTGTAGGGTCCCTCTGAAGCATTCCATGATTCTGTGATTTGGGAAAGTTTTGGAGAAGGTTTTGAACTGAGAACTTGAGAAAGCTGGGTTAGCAGAGCTGGGAGGGAGAAGGGAAGAGAACATTGATGGGGACATGACACAGTGGGTCTGTTGAGGGGATGGAGATGATGTGAGCAAGGCCTGGGGATTTTCTGATTGTCTGTTCACAGCAAACGTGGCTGGAGAGCTCTGTAAGTGTCCAACCATCTCTTGGCTTGTACAGTTGCTGGGATGGCTCTTCCCACAGGGAATGGTGGGAATATGAACTGGTTTTCCCCACACACAGCTGGGTTTGGAAAGGGTTTTTAGGCAGCTGCTTTGGTTTTTCTGGGAAGGAAGACAGGTCACTCCTGTGAGAGCAGATCTCCCTGAGCATCTCCTGTTTCCTCAGGGCACGGAGTCCATTAAGATGGAGAACGGGCAAAGCACGGCAGCCAAGCTGGGGCTGCCCCCTCTCACCCCAGAGCAGCAGGAAGCTCTCCAGAAAGTGAGTAAAACTGCTGGGCTTTGCTTTTTTGGGGGTGCTGGTGTGTTTTAATGAGCCTCTGGCACTGCTGGGGCCAAAGGGAGCTCACCACCGAGTCTATGGGGTTGTGGCCATGCTGGAGGGTCCCAGAGTCACATTTGGGCCCAGGAATTGCTTGGTTTGGTTTAGAGTTCATGGACACTTCTGGGAGTGTGGTAGGGAATTGCTGTTGGGGTGGGTGAGAGTGTGTTTAATTAAAGAAGTCAATCAGTTGAGAAAAATGGCATCCTGAGTCAGAGCTAGGCTGTGGGTGCCACTGAGGAGCTCCAGGAGGACTGAAACTGGGATCTGCTGCAGCTGGCCTGTCACTGTCCACACCAGAGTGGGACACATCCCAGAATATCCCTGTCCTGGGGTGGCAGGGGCACAGAGCTTTGTCCCCTGTCCTTGGGAGGCTCCGTGTGGCTGTGCCAGGGCTGTCCCTCTGGGTGAGCTGGCTGCCTCCCAGCCTCGTTCCCTCTGGAGCTGATGGATCCAAGCCCCCTTGTGCATTTCCAGTTCCCAAAGCACAGCCCTCAAAGCCCTGGCTTAGATCCTCCTGTTCCCTGGCAGCTCCCAAACACAGCCAGGGACACCAGGTGCCAAGGGGTGCCTGAGTGTGTGTCCTGGGGACAGACACAGCTGTGGGGGTGAGCTCTGTGCTGGCACCCCAGGATCTCTGGCTTTGCCACATGTGGGGAGGACTGAGAGAAACCCCAAGGGAGCCTTGTGAGGGCAGGCAGAGCCAGAGGTGAGCTGGGGCATTTAGGGAGCAGAGAGAGGAGCTGGTGTGTTTTGGGAGCAGAGCCAGAGGTGAGCTGGGGCATTTAGGGAGCAGAGGGAAGAGCTGGTGTGCTTTGGGAGCAGAGCCAGAGGTGAGCTGGGGCCTTTAGGGAGCAGAGAGAGGAGCTGGTGTGTTTAGGGAGCAGAGCCAGAAGTGAGCTGGGGCATTTAGGGAGCAGAGAGAGGAGCTGGTGTGTTTAGGGAGCAGAGAGAGGAGCTGTACTGTGTTTAGGGAGCAGAGCCAGAGGTGAGCTGGGGCCTTTAGGGAGCAGAGAGAGGAGCTGGTGTGTTTTGGGAGCAGAGAGAGGAGCTGGTGGGTTTTGGGAGCAGAGCCAGAGGTGAGCTGGGGCATTTAGGGAGCAGAGGGAAGAGCTGGTGTGTTTAGGGAGCAGAGCCAGAGGTGAGCTGGGGCCTTTAGGGAGCAGAGAGAGGAGCTGGTGTGTTTTGGGAGCAGAGAGAGGAGCTGGTGGGTTTTGGGAGCAGAGCCAGAGGTGAGCTGGGGTGTGGCGGTGTTTGAGGGTCCCCAGGATGAGGGAAGAGATGAGAGTCTTGACTCCATGTTCCAGAAGGCTGATTTATTATATTATGATATATATTATAGAAAAGAAAATGATATACTGAAACTACACTAAAGAAATAGAAAGGAGACATCAGGAGGCTAGAAAGGAATAAATAATAAAATCTCATGACAGACTCAGAGTCTGACACAGCTGGCTGTGATTGGCCATTAATTAAAAACAACTCACATGCTGGGTAAACAGTTCTCCAAATCACATCCCAAAGCAGCAGAACATGGAGAAGCTGAAGCTTCCCAGCTTCTCAGGAGAAAAACCCTGGCCAAAGGGATTTTTCAGAAAATATGTCAGTGACACTGGGGCATTTAGGGAGCAGAGAGAGGAGCTGGTGTGTTTGGGGAGCAGAGGGAAGAGCTGGTGTGTTCTGGGGAGCAGAGCCAGGGAAGAGCTGGTGTGTTTGGGGAGCAGAGCCAGGGAAGAGCTGGTGTGTTTGGGGAGCAGAGCCAGAGGTGAGCAGAGCCAGGGAAGAGCTGTACCGTGTTTGGGGAGCAGAGCCAGGGAAGAGCTGTACCATGTTTGGGGAGCAGAGAGAAGAGCTGGTGTGTTTGGGGAGCAGATCCAGAGGTGAGCAGAGCCAGGGAAGAGCTGTACCGTGTTTTGGGGAGCAGAGCCAGAGGTGAGCAGAGCCAGGGAAGAGCTGTACCATGTTTGGGGAGCAGAGCCAGAGGTGAGCAGAGCCAGGGAAGAGCTGTACCATGTTTGGGGAGCAGAGCCAGAGGTGAGCAGAGCCAGGGAAGAGCTGTACCGTGTTTGGGGAGCAGAGCCAGGGAAGAGCTGTACCGTGTTTTGGGGAGCAGAGAGAAGAGCTGGTGTGTTTGGGGAGCAGATCCAGAGGTGAGCAGAGCCAGGGAAGAGCTGTACCGTGTTTTGGGGAGCAGAGCCAGAGGTGAGCAGAGCCAGGGAAGAGCTGTACCATGTTTTGGGAGCAGATCCAGGGAAGAGCTGTACCGTGTTTTGGGAGCAGAGCCAGAGGTGAGCAGAGCCAGGGAAGAGCTGTACCGTGTTTGGGGAGCAGAGCCAGAGCAGGCCGGGCGTGCTGAGAGGCCAGAGCCCAGTGCAGGGGCGGCCATGGGGAGGAGCAGGGAGCTGGAGCCCCTTCCCTCCTGTAGCAGCTGTGTGTGCAGAGGCTCTCTGAGAGGAGAGGACAGGACTGGAGGAGGCCGTGCCCGCCCGGCCCTGCAGGTAAGGGGCTGCGGTGGGCTGCAGGGGTGGAAGAGGGGAACCCTGAGCTCCTGGTGCATGCTGCTTCCCTGGGCTGCCCCTCACCACATCCTCCGTGTCCCAGGGCCCTGGGGAGCTGGGGGCAGTGCCCTGGTGCTTAGGCACGGAGACCAGAAGGTTCTGGGAGCTGTGGAGGCCTCCTTCCCTGCCCCGCCGTGCTGTGCTGCCCCTAGAGCCCCTGTTTTCCTTGCAGGCCAAGAAGTACGCGATGGAGCAGAGCATCAAGAGCGTGCTGGTGAAACAAACCATCGCCCACCAGCAGCAGCAGCTCACCAACCTCCAGGTGAGAGCCCCCTGCGAGCCGCTCCCTGTGCCTCGTGCTCCCCCCGACACGGTGGAGTTCTCAGGGCCCTCGGAACCAGAGCACAGCCCTGAGCCTGCAGCTCCCCCAGGCACCCTGACTAACCTCACAAATTGCCCGCAGATCTCTCTTGTTCCCTGAGGAAATGGTTAAAAGTTCCTGTCCTGTTGGACGTCCCTTCTTGAGATACGAGAAGCCAAAGACTTTGCCGTGGGCTTTGCTTCTGAGCCGTGTTTGAGGTGGTGAAGGCAGAAGGGATCCTGGGAACGGTGGCCTGTCACCATCTCCTCTGCCTGAGGGAGGGTCCCTGTGTCCCCCCGTGTCCCAGCGCTGCCCCATTTCTCTCCCCTGCACCCGGGTGCTCTCAATTCTGGAGAATTTCTGTTGGCCGTTCCTGCTTGTACTGAAATGCCCATACCGGGAGAGCCCTTAACTGGGGTTTGACCTCCCCTCCTTCAGAGGTTTCTGGAACACGTCTCAGTGCCTTTCCTCAAAGTCAGGAAGCCCAAAACGAGGGCTTTGCCTGAGGAATCCCCGCGGATGTGCTCTCCCTGCCCGGCAGCCAAGGCCGTTTGGGGCTGTGCCTGGTTCTGAGGGTCTGCTCTAGTTGAGGGGCTCCTTTTAAATGCTGGGGGTGAACCAAGGACAGTGGTTGCAGAGGTTACTATTGCCTTGAGTCCCCCCCTGGGATCCCACCCTGCTTCCCGAGGCAGCGGCAGCAGCACAACCCCACCCTGGCCTGGTGGGACCGGGCTCGGCAGGGTCCTGGCGCCGGACACTCCTGGGGACCAGGCAGTGAGGGCCGAGGAAGGAGAGGCCTCTCGCAGGTGCCCCTGCGCCGCCGCTCTGCTTGAGTTTGTACAAACAGCCGTAGTATGCTCAGCTCCAACAGACTGAACTCTGTCTTTACTGTCTTTCAGATGGCAGCAGTGACAATGGGCTTTGGAGATCCTCTCTCACCTTTACAATCGGTCAATAGACATATTCACTTCTTCTGGGGCACTTGTCTTAGTCAGGGCCTAGCGTGGGGACGTTCGTAGTGGTGCCAATGCTCTTGTCCGCGCCCAGCGCAGCCCTCCCACATCCCCACCTGTACTGGACACGCCCAGGAGCAGAGCGAGGTGTCACTGCCCCGAGAAGACCCCAGGCTGTGCAGTCTGCGGGGACACTGCCACTCGGGGGCACAGACAGCTTTAGATTTCCACCAGTTCTGAACACACCTGTGAAATTGTGGGAGCTGCATTTCTAGGGATGCTACAGTTCTGAGGTCCCGACCTAAAACTAACGGCCAAGGTAACTCACCAAGGGGCGACTTGTTGTGGAACGACCTCCCAGCAGCCAGAGCCGGCCGGTGCTGGGGAGGGCCGGGGTGCCGGAGGTTGGCAGAGCATGGTGCAGCCCAGGCTCAGACTCTCTTTACTGTGCACGCTCCAGACCAGGGCAGTATGGCACGTTCTGAGTGCAGCAAAAGCAGCATGGGAGGGACAGAACTGCAGGACTGATCAGAGAACTCCTGTGAGCCTTTGTGCCCCTTCTAATCAGAGGCCACAAAGAGCTGAATGACTCGGCACGAGCCATCCCCTCCTTTTTCCGGACAGAGTGGCCTTTGACTCCTCTGTGCACCCAAAGGTTCACTTGTAAATTCATTTGCACATTTGTAAATACCTCTCTGGCTTGCTGGAATATGACATTTGTGCCTGGTGTAAAACACGGGCGGAGGTTTGGATTGCAAGGAAAAGGGCACTGAGGTGAAATCCCCAGTCTCCCTCCCTTGGCATGGGTGGTGTGTCTGTGGGCAGCCAGAGTGGCTGTTCTGGGGCAGGGCTGAGTTTGGAGTGGAGCAGAGCAGCCTTCTTGGTGTGGATTTGGCAGAGATGGCGTCGGAGCCCTCATGCCCAGGAACTCCCCCCATCCCTGGAGCTGCTGCCTGACTGTGGAACTGCAGCAATTTGGCCTAGATTGTTTCTGGCTCATTCTCCCCAGCTGGGCACAGCTGAGTTGGTGGCACAGGAAAGTTTTAATGGCTTATGACCCTCAGGGCACTGGGCTCAGTGACCCCTTTTCCTCAGCCATTCCTCCCTGGGCAGTCACAGGTGGACACAGCCCAGGAGCCCGAGCCTGGTGCAGTTCAGAGCAGTCAGGATATCCCTTTCTTGGCAGGTGCTTCATCCCAGAGCCCACTCAGGATGCACAAAGTGCAAACAGGCCCCTGTCCAGCACTTTCCCTGTGGCCAAGGTTCCCCAGTTCCTTTGTGGAGGCAGCACAGCCTGAACTCCCTGAGCTCTGGGTCTCAGGGCCTGAGTGACAGCTTCCCCTGGGCTCAGTCCTCAGTGTCACAGTGTGAGATTCCCACATCCCTTCACCATCCCCTGTGTCGTGACTGGTGCTCGTGGTGGGGGTTGTGCATCACCTGCTTTGGTCACAAGAGCACCCCAAGGTGGGGGTTTAGTCCTTAAAATAACCTCCAATCCCTTTAGACCAGCGCTGCACAGCTACAGGTGGGAGCTGCTGCCTGCCTGAGGCTTCAGGTGCTTTTCCATGTGACAGGAGGAGAAGGAGGCACAGGGAGCAGTGAGATCAGCCTGGGGGCTGCTGAGAGCACTGACATGTCCAGGCAGGAGGCCCTGACACCGACCTGTGCTGAGCTCAGGGGCCCAGGGCACATCCCCCACCCAGACGCTCCTGTTGGTGCCCCACAGACACAGAGTCAGCACAGCCCATCTCAGCTCTGCCTTCTGCAAGCCCAAAATCCCAGAGTCATTAGGGCTGGAAAAGACCTCCAAGGTCATGGAGTCCAAGCTGTGCCTGATCCCCACCCTGTCACCAGCCCAGGTGTTCCCTGGGCACCTCCAGGGATGGGGACTCCACACCTCCCTGGGCAGCCCCTTCCAGTGCCTGACCACCCTTTGCAGGAAGGAATTCTGCCGTCTGAAAATCCTGAGTCCTCCTCACTCCCCCAGCTCTCCTTTAGAGTCCTGTGGCAGGGCAAGGTGGGCATTTCCTCCTGCAGAGGCTCCTCAGGAGAGGCACCTCCCTGGGACACTCAGGGTGACACTGGTGGTGGCTCTGAGCCCCTCAGCAGATGAGCTGCAGACTGAGGGGCTTTCCTGCCCCAAAGCTGGGGACGTGCTGGAGCACCTGGGAGAGCACTCAGCCTCTGTGCTGCATGTGTACGTGCCATAGTCCTGCTGGTCACAGCCTGCAGAGTAAAGAGAGCCGTGGCCCAGCCGTGCTGGGAAATCCTTAGCCAGGCAGGGGGTAAGCTGGATGTCACCCCAGGAGCAGCAGCTGGGGCTGGATGTCACCCCAGGAGCAGCAGCTGGGGCTGGGTGTCACCCCAGAAGCAGCAATTGGGGTTTAATGTCACCTCAGGAGCAACAGTTGGGGCTCAATGTCACCCCAGGAGCAGCAATTGGGGTTTAATGTCACCTCAGGAGCAGTAATTTGGGTTTATTGTCACCTCAGGAGCAGCAGTTGGGGCTCAATGTCACCTCAGGAGCAGCAGTTGGGGCTCGATGTCACCTCAGGGGCAGAGTCTGGGGCTTGATGTCACCTCGGGAGCAGCAGCTGGGGTCTGATGTCACCTCAGGGACAGTCTGGGGTGAGAGCTGTCCCTGTTTGCAGTGTCCTGTATGGAATGGCAGGAGTCAAACCCTCCCAGGTTGTTTCCAGGGGCAGTCCTGGACAGGAGCAGTAGGGAGCAGGAGTCCCTCGGGTGCAGGCTGTGTCCCTGCTGCTGTGCCTGTCACAGACGAGCTCCTCCTCCTTTTGGGCTGCAGCATCCCCAGGCAGAGCTCCTGTGCTCCTTGGGGCACCCCAAAAATCAGCCTTGAGGAGGCCCTGAGTGCTTTCCCTCTGCCCCAGGGGTCCCCAGGCATGGCAGAGCTCCTGTGCTCCTTGGGGCACCCCAAAAATCAGCCTTGAGGAGGCCCTGAGTGCTTTCCCTCTGCCCCAAGGGTCCCCAGGCATGGAAGAGCTCCTGTGCTCCTTGGGGCACCCCAAAAATCAGCCTTGAGGAGGCCCTGAGTGCTTTCCCTCTGCCCCAGGGGTCCCCAGGCATGGCAGAGCTCCCGTGCTCCTTAGGGCACCCCAGACATGGTCTCCTGAGGGCCCTGCTTGCAGCCCCTCTGCCCTGGGGGTGCTAGGGAGGGAAGGGGGGGCTCAGAGCTCCCTGCTGTGCTGCTGGGCAGGGCCAGAGGCGTCACCTGCTGCTGCTGCACGTGCTCTGCACCAGCCTCTCCGTGCCCCAGGTGTGTCCCACCTGCCCCAGAGCTGTCCCCTCACATGCAGGCAGTGACTCCTCCAGAGCCCCGAGGCGTGGCCGCATCTCCAGGGCCACGTCCCTCAGCAGCTCTAGAGCTGCTCTGGGGGTGACAGACACGAAGGACAGGCACACTGTGCTCTGCTTTTGGGATCCCTCCCGTGAGGAATGGCTGGATTTGTCTCGAGAGCAGCTTTCCAGGCAGACGTAGGGCACCGTGGCAGGAAGCCTGTGTGCAGCGCCCGCGCGGCGGGGCTGCCCCAGCACAGCCAGTGCCGCCAGGCAGGGATGAGTACTGGCACCACACGCTTCCCAGGAGTCCCACTGGGCCACGGAAGTGTTTGGCTTTGCTGTTGAGCTGTGGCAGTGGTGGTGCCCAGTACTGGATCTCGGACTGCCGGGGGCGGGGGGAGGCTCTGGTGCCGGAGGGAGCGGGGGGAGGTTCCCAGTTCCAGGCCCTGTGCTGCCGGGGAGGGGGCGGGAGTGCCGATGGATCTCTGCTGCTGGGGGGAGCGGGAGGGGTTCTCCCAGTGCCCCAGCTGAGCCCTTGGCTGCCTGGAGGGGGAAGCTGCCCTAGAGCGAAGGGATTCCCTCCTCCTGCAGGCGTGGCTGGAGGTGAGACCCGGCCGGACGGGGGCCGAGCCGTGCGTGCCCCGGCACGGGCCGGACTTTATCCGGGACCGAGGCGGGCGGATCCGCTCCAGCGGCCTGTGCAGCGAGCAGGGAAATCCTTCTGGTCCAGGCTGTGGCTGGCTCCGGGAGGGAAGCAGCAGGGGGAGGAGGCCCCGCGGCCGTGGCCAGCCCGGCACTGACCGGCCAGTCCTTGTCTCGCTACAGATGGCGGCCCAGAGGCAGCGCGCGCTCGCCATCATGTGCCGGGTCTACGTGGGCTCCATCTACTACGAGCTGGGGGAGGACACCATCCGCCAGGCCTTCGCCCCCTTCGGGCCCATCAAGAGCATCGACATGTCCTGGGACTCGGTCACCATGAAGCACAAGGTGGGACGGGGCTGCCGGGAGGTTCCCTGCCTGCCTGCGGCACGGGGGGCAGCTGGAGGAGCTTTAAGGTCCCGTCCCGGCCAAACCCTTGTGGGATTGCCTGGGTCTGGCAAAGAGGAGGGGAACTGTCCTGGGAAGGGGTGGAATTCCTTGGGGGCAGCGAGAGCTGGTGGTGCTGATGCCCCAGTGCTGAGGCCTTCTGGGGTCTTCTGCAAGGACATTTCTTTCAGCCGTGTGTCCTAAACACAAAATAAACGGCTTTGCAGAATTTTGGAAGGAATCCTTCCCTGTGAGGGTGGGGAGGCCCTGGCACAGGTTGCCCAGAGAATTTGTGGATCCACCCCATCCCTGGAAGTGTCCAAGGTCAGGCTGGATGGGATTTGGAGCAACCTGGTCTAGTGGAAGGTGTGGAACTGCATGGGCTCTAAGGTCCCTACAACCCAAACCATTCCATGATTCCATGATTCCCAGCCCTCAGGGAACATCCTCCTCTCTTCAAGGCTTCCCAGATGCAGCCAGGAGAGGAAAGGGCCCCTATCCCTGTGAAGAACAGGCTCATTTTAGCACTGGGGGTGAATGTTTGCAGCTCCCTGATCTGCTTAGGGCAGGATTCTGTGGTGGGAGCTGGGGGTGTGTGGGGTGAAGTGCATGGAATCAGAATGGTTGAGGTTGGAAAAGAGCTCCCAGTGCACTGAGTGCCACACTCAGTCATTCCTCAGACATCTCCGGGGATGGGGACTCCACACCTCCTTGGACAGCCCCTTCCAATGCCTCACCACCCTTTCAGTGAAGAAATTCCTCCTGCTGTCCAACATGAAGCTCTGCAGCAGCCCTTAGTTAGGCAGGGTTTTGCTGCAGGGCCTCAGAGTCTGAGGCTCCAGAATCAGATGTCCTTGGGGGGGGGGAACCTCTGCAGGCATTTTCTGCCATATTAAAATGCTTCTCCAAGGAATCTCCTCGGGCCACGAGCAGGAATCAGGGAGGTGGGAATCAATCCCACCTGTAGGTCCATGGGCAAGCTTGGCACAGCTGGAGTGACTGACAGGTGTCTCCTCCCACCCCAGGGCTTTGCCTTTGTGGAATACGAGGTTCCCGAGGCCGCCCAGCTGGCCCTGGAGCAGATGAACTCTGTCATGCTGGGGGGAAGGAACATCAAGGTGAGTAACACACCTGCTCTGCAAATTCCTGCTTCTCTTTTCCTGGTTTCACGCCTGGAAACGCTCCCCACAGCCCTGTGGTGGGGGAAGGAACCTAAAGACTGTTCCCTGATGGACCTTGATGTCCAACATGGGGCACACGGTGGCTCTGGGTCCCTCCTCCCCGAGGAGAAAGCTGCAAGTCCCACCTGAGATTGGCCCCAGGGACTGCACTCAGGTTTTCCCAGCCACACATGGAATTCTTTTGAAGACAAAGCAAAGCTGATTCTTTATATCTTTTCATGCCCTGAGTGTGTGCAGAGGGCCCAGGGGGTTTAGGAAGGAGGGAGGAATGCTGTGCTTTGCTGGCAGAGTGCTTCTCAGTCCCTGGAAGTTTGGCAGGTCAGGGAAGGTACATGGGTACAGGGAGGAGGAGCAGAGCCCAGGACTCCGTCAGTGCAGGCTGTTCTGGCCCTGTTCCCTCTGAGCTGTGCTGTGCTTTGCACAGGCAGGCAGGGCCAGGTGCTGCCCTGCTCCATGGGCTGTCCATACCACAGAATAATGGAACTGCTCATGGACCTGTTCCCTGGGAGCTGTGCTGTGCTTTGCACAGGCAGGCAGGGCCAGGTGCTGCCCTGCTCCATGGGCTGTCCATACCACAGAATAATGGAACTGCTCATGGATCTGTTCCCTGGGAGCTGTGCTGTGCTTTGCACAGGCAGGCAGGGCCAGGTGCTGCCCTGCTCCATGGGCTGTCCAGACCACAGAATAATGGAACTGCTCACATTCCCATTGAGCAAATCCCTCCCAGCCCTTCGAGCCCCGTCTGTCACCCAGCCCAGAGCCCTGAGTGCCATGTTCAGCCATTCCTTTGATGTCTCCTGGGATGGGGACTCCAGCACCTCCCCTCCCAATGCCTGATTGCCTTCTCTTGAAGAGATTCCTCCTGATTTCCAGCCAGAGCCTCCCCTGGCCCAGCCTGAGGCCATTTCCCCTTGTCCTGTCCCTGTTCCCTGGAGCACAGCCCGACCCCCCCAGCTGTCCCCTCCTGGCAGGGGCTGTGCAGAGCCACAAGTTCCCCCTGAGCCTCCATTCCTCCAGGATGAGCCCCTGCCCAGATCCCTCAGGCCCTCCAGGCCCTTCCCAGCTCCACTGCCACCCTGTCCCTGCAGGTGGGGAGGCCCAGCAACATCGGGCAGGCTCAGCCCATCATTGACCAGCTGGCAGAGGAGGCCCGAGCCTTCAACCGCATCTACGTGGCCTCGGTGCACCAGGACCTGTCCGACGACGACATCAAGAGCGTGTTCGAGGCCTTTGGCAAGATCAAATCCTGCACCTTGGCCAGGGACCCCACCACAGGGAAGCACAAAGGCTACGGCTTCATTGGTACAGCTGGGGCAGGGCAGGGCAGGGCAGGGGGTGTCCTGTGTTCCTGGGGCTGCCCTTGGGGCTGGTACAGCTGGGGCAGGGCAGGGGGGTATCCTCTGCTCCTGGGGCTGGGGCAGGGCAGGGGGGTGTCCTCTGCTCCTGGAGCTGCACTCGGGGCTGGGATTTCCACCCTAGCAAAGGAATTTCCTTAGGGGGTAGGAATAATTTTGGATAAATTGAATAAATTTGAATGTATTCAATTTAGCCAAAATTGAATTTATTCAGGTCCAAATTTATTTAAATTTGAATAAATTTGGACCTGAATAAATCCAGGTCAAGGCTGGATTTAAAAATATAGTTAATGGTGGCTGTGAGGGGGTGAGGCACTGGCACAGGGTGCCCAGAGAAGCTGTGGCTGCCCCAGCCCTGGCAGTGCCCAAGGCCAGGTTGGACATTGGGGCTTGGGGCAGCCTGGGGCAGTGGGAGGTGTCTGTGGCAGGGAGTGGGGCTGGAAGGTGTTTGAGGTCCCCTGCCACCCAAACCATTCCATAATTCCATGACTGAACCAGGGAAGGCTCATTACTCAATGATCTCCTCCTGCAGAGTACGAGAAGGCCCAGTCCTCGCAGGATGCCGTGTCCTCCATGAACCTCTTTGACCTGGGGGGGCAGTACCTGCGGGTGGGCAAGGCCGTGACACCCCCAATGCCACTCCTGACACCTGCCACACCTGGAGGGCTCCCCCCTGCAGCTGCTGTGGCTGCTGCTGCTGCCACCGCCAAGATCACAGCACAGGTGGGACACGGGCTGGGACACGGGGGTGGGACAGGTGGGACACGGGGTGGGACAGGGGAGGGACAGGGATGGAACAGGTGGGACACAGGGTGGGACAGGGGAGGGACAGGTGGGACTCAGGGAGGGACAGGGGAGACACTGAGGTGGAACAGGCTGGAGCAGGTGGGACACAGGGGGATGGAACAGGGGAGGCACAGGGAGTGGAACAGAGGAGGGACAGGTGGGACATGGGAGTGGAACAGGGTGGAACAGGGGAGGCAGGTGAGACACAGGGATGGAACAGGGGAGGCACGGGTGAGACACAGGGATGGAACAGGGGAGGCACAGGTGAGAACACGGGCATGGAACAGGGGAGGCACAGGTGAGACACAGGGATGGAACAGGGGAGGCACAGGGACAGCTCAGATGAGGCATGGGGGTGGAACAGGGGAGGCACAGGTGAGACACAGGGATGGAACAGGGGAGGCACAGGTGAAACGTGGAGGTGAAACGGGACAGGGACAGCTCAGATGTGATGTGGCACAGGGACAGCTCAGAATGCAGCAGAGGTGAGACAGGGGGATGGAACAGGGGAGGGACAGGTGAGACACAGGGATGGAACAGGGGAGGGACAGGTGAGACACAGGGATGGAACAGGGGAGGCACAGGTGAGACACGGGCATGGAACAGGGGAGGCACAGGTGAAACGTGGAGGTGAAACGGGACAGGGACAGCTCAGATGAGATGTGGGGGCAGCTCAGATGAGGCACAGGGACAGCTCAGAATGCAGCACAGGTGAGACAGGGGAATGGAGCAGGGGAGGGACAGGTGACACACAGGGATGGAACACAGGGACAGCAGAGGTAAAGCACAGGGACAGCACAGAGCACTGCACAGGGTGCCCAGAAAAGCTGCCCCATCCCTGGAAGTGTCCAAGGCCAGGTTGGGCAGGGCTTGGAGCAACCTGGGCTAGTGGAAGGTGTCCCTGCTCATGACAGGGGGTGGGACTGTGTGAGCTTTAAGGTCCCTTCCAGCACAAGCCATTCCAGGATGCCACGATTCCAGATCATACGCTGTGCCAGGATTTCACACATGGAGGCTTTTCCCTGGCAGTGGGGAATCTGAGACAGCAGATTTTGGAGTGATCTGGCACAGCTGATGGGAACTTTATTCCAAGAACTGGTGGGGAAGGGTGGAGGGAATTCCTAGTCTGGAAATCAAGCCAGCAGTGAGGGGAAAATGTTTGCAGGAGAGGCTGAAAGAAAGCATGGGAGGACATGGAAGGGGTGAGGGCTGGGGGCAGGAGCAGCTCTCTGGCTGAAGGTCACACCTGTAGCAGGGTGGAACAGGCCTGGGATGGCTTTAGGCTGCTAAAAACAGGGAAGGGCACAGATGGGGTGGGTTGGATATTGATACAGAACTCGGGTTCTCTGATTTCCTGAAGGTACCAGGAGCTCCTGGGTGGGACAGATGCCCATGGCTGTGCCCCTCTCCCTGCCTTGGGCAGCAGGATCTCCCCATGGCCCTGCAGCCCATGGAGCAAGACAATTCCAGCACTGTTTGTGTGGTGGGGTTTTCTTGGGCAGGAATTGCATGTTCAGTGCAGCCTCTGGTGCTGCTGCATCAGAGCTGGGGCTCCCAAAGGCTTTTTGGGGAATGTTCCCTGAATCAAAGGTGGAGGCAGGAGTGGGAGGAGCTGCCCCTCCTGTGGAGCTCACAGATCCCCAGGAGAGATTCCACAGGGCTGGAAAGCTCTGCAGTCAGGGCAGGGAGGAAGGTGAGCCATGGCTGGAATTACTTGGATCAGAATCACTTGGGGAAGGGAGAATGGACTCTGCTGAAGTGAAGTGGTGGGGATGTGGTACAGACACGGGTAAATCCTGCTGTTCTGTCAGGAAACTGCAGGATCTGTTCCTGTCAGGAGAGTGGCACTAAAGAGAGGGGAGCAGGGGTCACCCCTGTCTGCCAGAGGGAGGAAAAGTCAGGCTTGCAGGGAAGTGAAGGAACCAAAAGTACTGGGAGAAGATTTTTAGCCATTTCCAGTGGAGCCAGAAATTCCAGTGGCTTTGTTCCAGCACTTTCCCATTCCCCCTCCTTAGAAGCTTCATCTCCAGTGGAAATAGGAGTGGCCTTGTGGGCACTGGGGGCAGAGCCCTGATGGGATGGGTTGGATCCCAGAGCTTGGGCATTTATGTGGAGGGGAGTTGGGATATCACAGCAGTCACAGATCCACTAACATCTGGGATGGAGGGACAAAACCTTGGGATCTGCTCTGCCCCATCAGGGATTACAGGAGCCCCGAGAATACAAGGGAGAGGAGGATGTGAGCAACTAAACCAGGACTACAATGGCCTGGAAAGCAACAACAGCCAAAAACCATGGGGATCCTGGGGTGTGTTTTAGGCACATTATCTCAGTCCTTCCATGGAAGTGCTTACTGTTCAGCTGGATGTTCCTCCTGGATGCTGTGGGAGTTCTGGTGTCTGGAGTCAGGGTGTTCCTTGGGATTGGGGTTCCAGGAGGAGGTTTTTCTACTTGGAATTGCAGTTCCAGAGGAGGTTTTTCTTCCTTGGGATTAGGGTTCCAGGAGGAGGTTTTTCTTCCTTGGGATTGCAGTTCCTGGAGGTTTTTCTTCTTGGGATTGGGGTTCCACGAGGAGGTTTTTCTTCCTTGGGATTGCAGTTCCTGGAGGTTTTTCTTCCTTGGGATTGCAGTTCCTGGAGGAGGTTTTTCTTCCTTGGGATTGGGGTTCCTGGAGGAGCTTTTTTTTCCTTGGGATTGCAGTTCCTGGAGGAGGTTTTTCTTCTTGGGATTGCAGTTCCTGGAGGAGGTTTTTCTTCTTGGGATTGCAGTTCCAGGAGGAGGTTTTTCTTCCTTGGAATTGCGGTTCCTAGAGGAGGTTTTTCTTCCTTGTGATTAGGGTTCCAGGAGGAGGTTTTTCTTCCTTGGGATTGCAGTTCCTGGAGGAGCTTTTTCTTCTTGGGATTGCAGTTCCAGAGGAGGTTTTTCTTCCTTGGGATTGGGGTTCCTGGAGAAGCTTTTTCTCCCAGGGTGTTTCAGAGTTTGTTTCCCTGCTGGGCTGGGTGATGCCTTTGCCTTCCCTCCCACACTGGGAGCTGCTGGGGATGGGAGTGTTGGGAATTTCCCGGGTGCAGGGGGCTGAGCCTGGCTGGCTGCTCTGCAGGGACAGTCCCTGGGGCAGGGCTGACCCCAGCTTTTCCCTGTGTCCCACAGGAAGCCGTGGCAGGAGCTGCAGTGCTGGGCACATTGGCCACCCCGGGGCTCGTGTCCCCTGCCCTGACCCTGGCCCAGCCCCTGGGGGCTCTGCCCCAGGCTGTGATGGCTGCACAGGCCCCTGGTGTCATCACAGGTGGGTCCCCTGTCTGCAGGCACCTCTGTGTGTGTTCCCTTGTCACCTGTGTGTGTCCTCTCTTCCTGTCACCTGCATCTGGCACCTCTGTCCCCTGTCTGCAGGCACCTCTGTGCATCCCCTTCTGTCACCTGTGTGTGTCCCTTCTTCCTGGCACCTGTGTCTGTCCCTTCTCCCTGGCACCTGTGTCTGTCCCCTCTTCCTAGCCCCTGTGCCCCCTTCCTCCTGGCACCTCTGTCCCCTGTCTGCAGGCACTTGTGTGTGTCCCTTCTGTCCCTCTTGCTGGCCTCTGTGTCCCTTCCTGCTGGCACCTGTGTGTGTCCCCTTCCTCCTGGCACGCCTGTCCCTTTTCTCCTGTCACCTGTGTGTGTCCCGTCTTCCTGTCACCCGTGTCTGTCCCTTCTTCCTGCCCCCTGTGCCCCCTTCCTCCTGGCATTTGTGTGTCCTCTTCCTTCTGTCATGTGCGTGTGCTCCTGTCACCTGTGTGCTTCTCCTGCTGTCACCTGTGTGTGCTCTGCCCTTGTCACCTGTGTCCCTTTTCCACAGATGTGACTCTGTGCCTGGAGTCCACATGAGGCCTGACTCCTGCTCCTGGCCCTGCCTGGGCAGGAGCTTGGATGTTTTATGGATTCGTTTTGTGTCCAAAAGAGGGGACACGCCGTGGGTTCCAGCAGGAACACCTGGCATGGGGGGAAAAGCTGGATAATGGGCACTGGGTGTCACTGACCATTGTCCAGGTGTCACTGACCACTGCCAGGTGTCACTGACCATCGCCAGGTGTCACTTACCACTGCCAGGTGTCACTGACCATCGTCCAGGTGTCACTGACCACTGCCAGCTGTCACTGACCATGGCCTGGGTACTACTGCATGTTTCCCAGCTGTTACTGACCATTGTCCAGCTGTCACTGACCACTCCCCAGGTGTCACTGACCATGCCCTGGGTACCACTGAATGTTTCCCAGCTGTCACTGACCATTGTCCAGGTGTCACTGCCCATTGCCCAGCTGTCACTGACCATCACCCAGCTGTCCCTGACCATCACCCAGCTGTCACTCACCATTGTCCAGCTGTCACTGACCATCACCCAGCTGTCACTAACCACCCTCCTGTCCCCGTGCTCTCCCAGGTGTGACCCCTGCCCGGCCGCCCATCCCGGTGACCATCCCGCAGGTGGGCGTTGTGAATCCCATCCTGGCCAGCCCCCCAGCCCTGGGGCTGGTGGAGGTGAAGAAGGAGAAGGAGGAGGAGGAGGTGTTCCAGGAGTCGGAGCGGCCGGAGATGCTGAGCGAGCAGGAGCACATGAGCATCTCGGGCAGCAGCGCCCGCCACATGGTCATGCAGAAGCTGCTGCGCAAGCAGGAGGTGAGTGTGGCAGGGGACAGCTGCCACCTGTGTGCCAGGCTGGGCTCTGCAGGACAGGGGGGCTCAGGGGCACCCAGAGCACCTCTGAGCTCAGCAACAGCAGTTCAGGGCACCCACAGCAACTCTGAGCTCACCCACAGCACCTCTGGGCTCACCCACAGCAACTCTGAGCTCAGCAACACTCACAGCACCTCTGAGCTCACCCACAGCACCTCTGAGCTCACCCACAGCACCTTGGAGCTCACCCACAGCACCTCTGAGCTCAGCAACACTCACAGCAACTCTGAGCTCACCCATAGCAACTCTGAGCTCAGGGGCATGTGACCGTGTTCACAGGGGCCTGAGGATGAGGGAAAGGACGAGGATCTGACTCCATGTTTCAGAAGGCTGATTTATTATTTTATGATATATATTACATTAAGACAATACTAAAAGAATAGAAGAAAAGATTTCATCAGAAGGCTAGCTAAGAATAGAAGAAGAAAGAAAGATAGCAAAGGCTTGTGGCTCAGACTCTCTGTCCGAGCCAGCTGGCTGTGATTGGCCATTAATGAGAAACAACCACATGAGCCCAATCCCAGATGCACCTGTTGCATTCCACAGCAGCAGATAACCATTGGTTACATTTTGTTCCTGAGGCCTCTCGGCTTCTCAGGAGGAAAAATCCTAAGGAAAGGATTTTTCAGAAAAGATGTCTGTGACAGGAGCACCCACAGCACCTGTGAGCTCAGGGGCGCTTCAGGATTGATTTACCTGGGCCTGGAGTGCCAGGACAAGGGAATGGTTTCCCATTGCCAAGGGGGCAGGGTTAGGTGGGATTTTGGGAAGGAATCCTTCCCAGTATTCCATATAATCATATCCTATAATATCCCAATAATGAGGGTTTTTAGGGCACCCTGAAGCTGTGGCTGCCCCATCCCAAGGCTGGGCAGGGCTTGGAGCCCCCTGGGATGGTGGGAGGTGTCCCTGCCCATGGCAGGGGTGGGACAGGATGGGCTCTTGGTCCCTCCATGCCAAACCATCCTGGCATTCCCTGATCTTCCCCGAGTCCCTTGGAGGGCTCAGAGCAGGCCCTGGTGAGGAGTCTCTGACTGAGCTCTGGTGTCACTGGATCCAACCCTGGTGGCCTTTGGGCTGGAAGGGTGGGGCTGGCACAGGCCAGGCCAGTCTGTCCCAAGAACCAAGTTCACCTCTGCCCCACTACATCCCATAGAGGGTGAGTCCTGTGCAGAATCCCAGAGGAACCCCCAGTCTGGGTGACAGGGTGGGCCTTGGTTGGACTCAGTGGTCTTGGAGGTCTTTTCCCACCTGAATTGATTCTGTGAACCCCTGAGGTGCTGATCAAACAGAAGTTCATGGGAATTGCAGTGAGGAGGAGGACAAGAATGAGGGGTAGAAAAAGAACATTAAACAGAACAATGGATTCATGGATTTTTGTGGGGGCTGTCAGAGGGGACTTGGTGATCTTGCCTGGGCATCTCCAGTTTGTTCCTTTGCTGGAGTCTCCTGGCAGATTTCCTGAGCTTTGACAGGGAACCTAAGGCATTTCTTCCCCATTTGCTGATAGGGACAAAGCTGACAGCATTCCCAAGGAATGAGGGTTCCCTCCTCTTCCCAAGGGTGCCTGAAGTGAAACACACCTTGGGGCTCCTGTCCCAGCAGCCACAACCACCTCAGTCCGTGGGACAGCCTGGCTTGGGAAAAGCTGAGCAGAGCTAAATAGTCTCATTTAAGGTTTAAAAAATTTAAAACTCCCAAAAACCAAAACTTGCAAGTCTTTTTTAATATAATGCTCCATCCCAAGCTGTTTGGGATTCTGAGCCTACAAGTGCCTTTGGCTTGGGCTGTGAGGAGCAGCCACAGGAAATGTGTTCACATGGAGCCTGGAATGGGATGGGGCAGAGCCTGGAATGGCCCAGGTGTGCCAGGGCCAGGGGCACAGAGCAGCCTGCCCAGAGGGGGTGGAATTCCTGTCCTTGAAGGCACCAGAGGCCACCTGGACGTGGCCCTGGAGCTCAGGCCAGGTGATCTGAGAGCCCGAGGGGCTCAGTCATGGAAGGGCTGGGTGCAGGTGTGTCACCCATGTCACCCACCTGGGGAATCCTTTATGGGAGGGGAGGAAAGGAACACAAAGAGAATTGTGACAGAATTGTTGAGGAAAAGCCAACAATACCCGTGTGGTGTTTTTGGGGTCCCCTGTCAAAGGCAAGGAAAATGGTGAATCTGACTCCATGTTCTTAGAAGGGTAATTTATTATTTTATGATATTATGTTATTAAAGAATACTAAACTATACTTAAGAATACAGAAAGGATACAGACAGAAAACTGGAAAGACACCAATGAAATCTCGTGACTCTCCCCAGGGTCTTGACACAGTTTGACCATGATTGGTCATTAAGTAAAAACAATTCACATGAAACCCGTGAAGCAATCACCTACACATTCCAAAGCAGCAAAACACAGGAGAAGCAAATCAGATAAATTATTGTTTACAGTTTTCTCTGAGGCTGCTCAGCTTCCCAGGAGAGAAATCCTGGCCAAGGGATTTTTCCAGAAAATGTGCCAGTGACATACCTGGATGGCAGCAGCACAGGGAAGATGAGAGTGGTGCCCAAGGCTCGTTGTGCTTCCAGGAGTGTCCCAGGAAATGGCACACAGCATTCCCAGCCAGGGGAATTCTGATCCAGGGGCCAGCAGCACACAGGCCTGGAAACTCGCTGCCACATTTCTCTTCACAGAGAAAAGCAAGGCACAAATCTTCCCAAGAATATTTCTGAGTTTCACATTCTCTGAACGTCAGAGAAAGGAAAAACAATTCTTATCATTTGTTGTGCCAAAGTGGAATGCAGTGTGGGGATTGTTTACCCAGAGTGATGGTGTTTTGTTTCCTTGGCCTGTCAGCCCCAGGTGTGTGTGTGTGTTGGGGCTGTCTGGACAGTCACAAGGGAGGGTCAGGAGATGAGTGCAGAGAGAGCAGTTGTGTGCAGAGTGAGTGCTTGGCAGATTCACTTTACATGGAATGTAGTACAGTATAATAAAGTAATTAATTATTATTAAAGTAATTCTTATTAATTTTTACTATTTCGATTAAATAAAATTAAATTGAAAATTAATTAAAAGAATTGATTAAAAGTTTAAAATTAATTTTATTAATTTTAATTAATAATTATTAAAGTTATTAATTATTATTAATTATTATTAATTAGCCTTCTAATGGATCAAGTCCTCCTCATCATTCCTCCTTTGTTGAGTTGCCAGGCAGCAATAGGAACTCTGTGATTATCCCTGAGAGGCTGAGCCTGCAGCCCCCTGGAGGGTGCCTGTGTGCCAGTGTTCACAGGGGTCCCAGGATGAGGGAAGAGATGAGAATCTTGACTCCATGTTTCAGAAGGCTGATTTGTTATTTTATGATATATATTACATTAAAACTATACTAAATGAACAGAAGAAAGGATTTCATCAGAAGGCTTGAAAGGAATAGGAAAGGAATGATAATAAAATCTTGTGACTGGCCAGAGAGTCTGAGACAGCTGGACTGTGATTGGCCATTAATTAAAAACAACCACACGAGACCAATCAGAGCTGCACCTGAGACCAATCCCAGATTCACCTTTTGCACTCCACAGCAGCAGATAATTATTGTTTACATTTCATTTCTGAGGCCTCTCAGCTTCTCATTCTAGCAAAAGGATTTTTCACAAAATATCATGGCTGCAGTGCCCGCAGTGGGGTTTGGGGTTTGGGGTTTGGGGTTTTGGTGCTGGGCTGTGCCCCATGCACGTCTCCAGCCCTCACCCCCTCCTCTCCTCCCTCCCTGCAGTCCACGGTGATGGTGCTGCGGAACATGGTGGATCCCAAGGACATCGACGACGACCTGGAGGGAGAGGTGACGGAGGAGTGCGGCAAGTTCGGGGCCGTGAACAGGGTCATCATCTACCAGGAGAAGCAGGGCGAGGAGGAGGACGCCGAGATCATCGTCAAGATCTTTGTGGAGTTCTCCATGGCCTCAGAGACTCACAAGGCCATCCAGGCGCTCAACGGGCGCTGGTTCGCGGGCAGGAAGGTGGTGGCCGAGGTCTACGACCAGGAGAGGTTCGACAACAGCGACCTCTCGGCATGAACTGCACCCCGGGGCTGGGGATGGGCCTGGGGCTGGGCCTGGACCTGACCTTGGGGCTGGGACTGGACCTGATCCTGGGGATGGGCCTGGGGATAGGCCTGGACCTGATCCTGGGGCTGGGCCTGGACCTGATCCTGGGCCTGGGGCTGGGCCTGGACCTGATCCTGGGGCTGGGACTGGGCCTGGACCTGACCTTGGGGCTGGGACTGGGCCTGGGGCTGGGCCTGGACCTGATCCTGGGGCTGGGACTGGACCTGATCCTGGGGCTGGGCCTGGATCTGATCCTGGGGCTGGGCCTGGACCTGATCCTGGGGCTGGGACTGGGCCTGGACCTGACCTTGGGGCTGGGACTGGGCCTGGACCTGATCCTGGGGCTGGGGATGGGTCTGGACCTGATCCTGGGGCTGGGGATGGGTCTGGACCTGATCCTGGGGCTGGGGCTGGGCCTGGGTCCAATCCTGGGGCTGGGACTGGACCTGGATCTGATCCTGGGGCTGGGATGGGCTTGGGTCTGGGGATGGGCCCAGCTCTGATCCCAGAGCTGGGAATAGGCCCAGCTCTGATCCTGGGTCTGGGAATAGCCCCAGCTCTGATCCCAGAGCCTTGATCTGGGGAATGGGCCCAACTCTGTTCCCAAGGCTTGGCTGAGCTTGGCCTCTGGGAATTGGTTTATCTGTGATCCCAGAGCCTGGTTGAGCTCAGATCCAGGGAATTGGCCAAGCTTGGATCCAGGGAATTGGCCCAGCTCTGTCCAAGGAATTGGCCGAGCTTGGATCCAGGGAATCAGCCCAGCTCTGATCCCAGGAATTGGCCAAGCTTGGATCCAGGGAATCAGCCCAGCTCTGATCCCAGGAATTGGCCAAGCTTGGATCCAGGGAATCAGCCCAGCTCTGTTCCAAGGAATTGGCCAAGCTTGGATCCAGGGAATCAGCCCAGATCTGTCCAAGGAATTGGCCAAGCTTGGATCAAGGGACTCAGCCCAGCTCTGATCCCAGGAATTGGCCAAGCTTGGATCCAGGGAATTGGCCCAGCTCTGTTCCAAGGAATTGGCCGAGCTTGGATCCAGGGAATCAGCCCAGCTCTGTTCCAAGGAATTGGCCGAGCTTGGATCCAGGGAATTGGCCCAGCTCTGTTCCAAGGAATTGGCCGAGCTTGGATCCAGGGAATCAGGCCAGCTCTGTTCCAAGGAATTGGCCAAGCTTGGATCCAGGGAATTGGCCCAGCTCTGTTCCAAGGAATTGGCCGAGCTCCTGGGGTTCTGCCCTGCCCTCTCTGCCTCCCGGGGTTTTTGTAGCCGTGTGTAAAGGACATTCCAGGACATTCCAGGGCGGGCACAGGGATCTGGTGTCTGGGGAGTTGAGATAAAAACGCAGAGAAAACCGGTGTCACCTGTGTGTGTGTGTGACAGGGCTGGCACCTCCTCGGCCCAGGCTGGCACAGGGCTGGCACTGCTCTGGCACAGGGCTGGCACCAGCTCACCCTGGGCTGGCACTACACTGGCACCTCCTCAGCCCAGTTTGGCACCTCCTTGGCCCATGCTGGCACAGGGCTGGCACCAGCTCACCCTGGGCTGGCACTGCACTGGCACCTCCTCAGCCCAGTTTGGCACCTCCTTGGCCCATGCTGGCACAGGGCTGGCACTACACTGGCACCCGGGGGAGCAGAGCTGCCCTCAGGAGGTGCTGTGGGTGCCCCTGCCCAGCCCCAGCTCCCTCAGGCACACCGGGGTCAGTTCCCTGGGGGGCAGGAGGGGCCCTTTCCCTCCAGGATGGGCTCCAGGGGGTTGGGATGGAGCCAAGGGGGACCCTGGGGAGGGGGAGTCACCCCTGGGGGCTCCTGTGCTGGCACTGGGGGAACTGGGGGTGCTGGGAGGGAGCCCCGATCCAGAGAGCTGAGCCTGGGCTCAGGAATCCCACAGGACTGGGACCCAGCTGGAGGAAATGATCCTGGTACTCCAGAAATGCAGATCTAAGGAGGATGATCTCCAGGGAATTCGGGAATTCCGAGCCCGGCCTTCCTCCGGGGGTTGCTGCCAGGCCTGGGGATGTCCTGGAGCTGAGCTGGGACACTCACCCGGGGCTGGAACGGCTCAGCCTGGAGCGCAGCCAGCAGCTGTGTCCTCAGCTGGCATGGTGGGAGGCTGGGACGCTGTGTCTAAAACAGCTGGGATTTTGGGATATTGGGATTTGGGGATGCTGTGCCTAGAGCAGCTGGGATTTTGGGATATTGGGATTTGGGGATGTGGTACCGCAGCTGGGATTTTGGGATATTGGGATTTGGGGATGCTGTGCCTACAGCACCTGGGATTTTGGGATATTGGGATTTTGGGGATGTTGTGCTACAGCAGCTGGGATTTTGGGATATTGGGATTTGGGGATGCTGTGCCTACAGCAGCTGGGATTTGGGGATATAGGGATTTGGGGATGCTGTGCCTACAGCAGCTGGGATTTGGGGATGCAGGGATTTGGATATGCTGGAATTTTGAGATGCAGGGATTTGGGGTGCTGGGATTTGGGGATGCTGGGATTGAGGGATGCAGAGATTTAGGGATGCTGGGATTTAGGGATGCAGGGATTTGGGGATGCTGTGCTACAGCAGCTGGGATTTGGGATGCAGGGGTTTGGGTATGCTGGGATTTAGGGATGCTGGGATTTTGGGGTGCTGGGATTTGGGGATGCTGTGCCTTCAGCAGCTGGGATTTTGGGATATTGGGATTTTGGGGATGCTGTGCCTACAGCACCTGGGATTTTGGGATATTGGGATTTGGGGATGTGGTACAGTACCTGGGATTTTGGGATATTGGGATTTTGGGGATGTTGTGCTACAGGAGCTGGGGTTTGGGATGCAGGGATTTGGGAATGCTGGGATTTAGGGATGCAGGGATTTGGATATGCTGGAATTTTGAGATGCAGGGATTTGGGGTGCTGGGATTTGGGGATGCTGGGATTTAGGGATGCAGGGTTTTGGGTATGCTGGGATTTTGGGATGCAGGGATTTGGGGATGCTGTGCTACAGCACCTGGGGTTTGGGATGCAGGGATTTGGGTATGCTGGGATTTAGGGATGCAGGGATTTGGGATGCTGGGATATTGGGATCCAGGGATTTGGGGATGCTGTGCCTACAGCAGCTGGGTTTTGGGGTTATGGGATTTAGGTATGCTGGTATTTTGGGATGCAGGGATTTTGGGATGCTGTATCTACAGCAGTTGGGATTTTGGGATATAGGGGTTTGGGATGCTGTGCCTACAGCAGTTAGGATTTGGGGATATAGGGATTTTGGAATTCTGTGCTGCAGCAGCTGGGATTTGGGGATGCAGGGTTTGGGGATGCTGTGCCTACAGCAGCTGGGATTTGGGATCCAGGGATTTGGGGATGCTGTGTCTACAGCAGGTGGTGTTTTGGAATGCTGGGATTTGCATATGCTGGAATTTTGAGATGCAGAGATTTGGGATGCTGGGATTTGGGGATGCAGGGATTTGAGGATGCTGTGCTACAGCAGTTGGGGTTTTGGGATGCAGAGATTTTGGGGTGCTGGGATTTGGGGATGCTGTGCCTACAGCAACTAGGATTTGGGGATGCAAGGATCTTGGGATGCTGTGTCTACAGCAGCTGGGACATAGGGATGCAGGGATTTTGGGATGCTGTGCTACAGCAGTTTTGATGCCGTCTTTGGCAGCCCCAGGCTTTCAGGGGTAGCTGCACAAATCACTGAGCAGCTCTGTTTGGGGCCATGTCAAAGGAGGCTCCGGTGTTCAGGGAAAACATCCCAAAAATGCAGGGGGTAAGCACGGGAGAACCGGCGCGCCCGGCGGGCAGCGCTGCTCACACCAGCACGGGACAGCCTGTCCTGCTCGCCCGTCAGGGCCGGGCCACTGACCCCAAACCACCTGTCCGGGACCTGGAGGACCCAAGCAAGGAAGCAACCAAACCCTTCTGGCAGTGGGAGCACTGAGGGTTTGGAGCTCTTGTCACAAGGACCCATCAAATACATTTATGGACCAGATCCATACCGATGCTCTCCTTCTGTCCCAGGGAAGCTGTGGCTGCCCCATCCCTGGCTGTGTCCAAGGCCACGTTGGGCTGGGCCTGGAGCAGCCTGGCCCAGGGGAAGATGTCCCTGCCCATGGCAGGGCTGGCACCGGACGGGCTTTAAGGTCGCTCCAGCCCAAACCATTGCAGAGCCCCCGGGGCCGGGATGGGGCGGGGCGGGCACTCGGCAGCGCCAGCAGCTCGTGCTGCCGCCTGCTGTTGGCACCCGGAACTGCAGCTGGGGGCGGCGCATGCACAGTGCCGCTGATTTCCTGTGCTCGCTGCTGCCCTCCTGTGGACAATTCCTGAACTGCAACTCCAGGAGATGAGCGGGTAAAGAGGGAAAATCCCTGATCTGAAAGGAAAAAGAGTTTCCTGAGCGAACCATCAGGGGTTTTAATAAAAAAAAATGGGTGGTGCTACCTCTGTCCCCTTTTCTCCATTTTATTTTTATCTCTTCTCTTTGTTTTACTTTTTTTCCTCCCAATGCTTCTTCTGTTGCATTACCTCAAATCCGGAACTTTGGAACAAGCCCCAAACTGATTATTAATCCTTTTAAAATTGCACTGAACAGCCCCTGCCAGCTCCCTCAGCCCTTCCTGCTGCTCCAGACCCTTCCCCAGCTCCATCCCTTCCCTGGTCATGCTCCAGCCCCTCCAGGTCCTTTCTCAGGGTCTGCAGTGAATGAGGAAAAAGGGAGGAACATTTCTCCAGCACTCTTTGTAGACAGAAGTTTGAAAAATAAAGCTTTGATTTCCCTCTAACAAAAACTCCAGGATCTGCTTTATTTTAGGAAATGAGGCGCTCTGCAGGAGAGATGTTAAAGGAGCTGGACATGACCCCTGGGCATGTCCTGGAATCTGATCCCAAATCCAGGGGTCACTCCTGGATGCCCCAGTGTCCCCCAGACCCCCCAACTCCCAATCCCAGTCCCACAGTCCTATATCCCCCCTCAAGGTGTCTTGTCGGCCACCCTCAGGACCCTGACTCAAATCCTGGGGTCATTTCCTGGCCCCCCCCAGTAACCCGTGTGACCCCCAGACTCTCAATCCCACTCCCACAGTTCTGTGTCCCCCCTCCTGGTGTTTCCTGGTGTTTCCATTACCCCAATCCCTCTCCCAATCCCTTGTGCCCCTCCCAGTGGCCCCATGTCCCCCAGGACCCTGGCCCAAGGTTTGGGGTCCCCAATGGGTCCCACTGTCCCTGTCCCCTCCCCCCCTTACCCAAATCCCACTCTCAGTCCCATGACCTCCCCAGTGACCCCTGGACCCCGATCCAGTCCCATGGGCCCCCCAAGTGTCCCCCATCACCCCACTGCCACTCCCATGGTCCTGTGTCTCCCATCGCTGGCCCCCAGACCACCCCAGCACCCCAGTCCCTGTTCTGTGACACCCCCAGTGCCCCCCCAGACCCCAATCCCGCTGTCCCAAGTCCCCCCACAAGGGCACCCAGCCCCTGATACTGAAATCAGACAGAGTGAAACTCCCTGATGGAACTGCAGGTATCAGAAAGCCGGAATTCTTGATCAGCTCGGACTCACAGCAGATCTCTCCTGGTCCTGCAGCTCAGGGGGGCTTTGCCACAGGGTCTTTATCCACCACAATTACAAATATTCATGAAAATGTGTCTCCTACCTAATACAGAAACAGCACTTTTCCCATAAATAATCTGCATGGCTCTACCTCTTTTAGGAAATAATTTTTATTGTGCTACAGAGTCATAAAAATGGGCTGTCAGAGTTTGTTTTCACTGAGTGCCCCAATATCCCACGTGACCTTGCCTCAAACTTTCGCTTTGAGCAGGCGCTGCTCCTTCTGTGTTACAGAACTTGCCAAAAACCCCTCACTGCAGTTCCCTTTATCTCTTTCTCCAAAGGTTACAGCCACCTTTGCCCCGCTGTGTTTTTACCTGTTCATCTTTAAGCTGTACCCAGCACCATTAAGGGATGTAAAACTTTCTATTCTCTCTCTTATTGCTCAGTCCCCAGGACCCCAATCCCACCGTCCCATGTCCCCCCAGTTGCCCCCAGTCCCACTCCCCAGTGCTCACTGAGTTGCAGTCACACCTCAGATACCAACTGGGGTCCCCTATCAGATGCCATCTGCGGAGGATCAGCAATGGGACATCACGCCATGATCAATATGACCAAGTGAAGTCAAATTTATTACAAGAACAAAATGTATTTATGCTTTGTTCTACTGTTCACGCGCCTCAGGCTAATACATGATTGGTTTAGCCTGGCTGTGCATGCGTCTCAAGCCTTCAGCTCATTGTTCAGTCTTCTTTCTTCATGCATCTCATTGTGGTTTATTGTTTTCCCTTCAGGCACTCTGCTGTGGTTTTTGCCCCGTCTTCTTAGCCCGCCCCACATCCTGGACTCGTTTTTCTCCTGAGTAGGCTCTTCCTGTTTTTGAGCTATCGGGGACAATGAGAAATTCTACTCAGACCCCTTAAAGGCTGCTTGGGCACTGTGTCCGTTTTCCTGCAAAAATCCCTCAACAGACATGCCTGTGGGCACCTTGAGCGTGGGGATGATCTCTTGGGGGAGTGCCTGAGTGCCTGGGCTGAGCTGAGCTGCCCCAAGGCGTGGCCGTTCTACAACCCAGGGCACACCAGCCTGGGGACTGACAAATCCCTGTGGGAAATAGACTTGCACTAAAGCAGCACAAGAGGTTCCTCTGTATTCAAAACCGTCACCTCCAGGCATCACTGAAAGAGGAAACACTCCTGGGGATTACTGGCAAATGGATTTTCTGAGCTACCACGCCAACATAGGCTCAGGTACCTCCTGGTGTTGGTGGATCCCTTCTTGGAGGTCCAGAGCTTCTCCTGCCAAACCAGCAAGGCCAGGGAAGTCACCCAGGCACTCCCCCAAGAGATCATCCCCAGGCTCAAGGTGCCTGCAGGGATTGCATCTGATAGGGGACCCCAAGTGGTATCTGAGGTGTGGCAGCAACTCAGTGAGCAGTGGGGAGTGGGGCTGGGGGAAACTGGGGCAGCGTGGGACTGTGGGATTGGGGTCCTGGAGGGTGAACAATAAGAGAGAGAATAGAAAGTTTGAGTTGTCCTGAAGGTGCTGGATAGGGCTTAAAGATGAACAAGCAAAAAACAATAAAAGGATGTAAAAGTGTTTGCAGCAGGGCAAAGGTTGCTGTAACCTGTGGAGAAAGAGAGAAAGGGCACTCCAGTAATGGTTTTTTGCCAAATTCTGTAACACAGAAGGAGCAGTGTCTGCCGAAAGTTAAAGTTCTAGCTGAGGTCACACTGGGGCACTCAGTGAAAACCACACTGAGAAAAGTCATTTTTAGGACTCTCCAGGACCATAAAAGGATTTCAAGAAAGAGGTGGAGCCATGCAAATTATTGCTAGGAAATGTACAGTTTCTGTACTAGGTGAGGGACACATTATAACGAATATTTGCAATTGTGGTGGATAAAGACCCTGTGGCAAAGTCCCCTGTGACCTGCAGGATCAGGACAGATCCACTGTGAGTCTGAGCTGATAAAGAATTCAGTTTTTATGCTACCTGCAGTTCCATCAGGGAGTTCACTCCGGCTGATTTTGGTATTGGGGCTGGGGGGACTCCAGGGGGACTCTTGGGGGGACACGGGACTGAGGGATTGGGATTGCGGTGCTGGGGGGACACTGGGGGAGTCACAGGTCTGGGATTGGGGTAATGGGGGGCTCTGGGGGAAAATGAGGGGGGACACGGGATGGTGAGAGTGGATTGGGGTGATGGGGAGGCTGGGAGACACTGTGGGGGCAGAGGGTGATGCCTGGATTTGGGTTGATGTCCTGGGGTGACACCAAAGGAACTGGGGAATGGGAGTAGGAGTGGGGTCCCGGGATGAGTCGAGGGGGACACCGGGGGCCTCAGGGAGTGAGCCCAGGATTTTGGGTCGGGATCCTGCTGGGGCTGAGGGGACCTGTAGTCATGGGAGTAGGATTGGGCTTCTGGGGGGCCAGGGGGACATGGTAGTGTGGGATTGGGGTTCCTGGGGCTGGGGGACATTGGGGAGGGATAAGTAACCCCAGGATTTGGGATGAGGGAGGCCAGCCATGCCCAGGGCTCTGCTGGCCAGGAGTGCCTCCCTTCGCCCTGGGCTGACCCCACTCCCCTCCCCAGTCCCTCACTGATGAACCCTCCCCGTGTCTCCCCTGTGTCTCCCCCATGTCCCCTCTGTGTCCTCCAGTGTCCACACTGGTCCCTGTGGCCTCTCCCCTCCATGGCCCTCCTGGCTCAGACCCTGGCACTGCTGGCAATGGCCATGGCCACCACGGGCATCAAGGTGGTGCCCCTGGACATGGCCCAGGACTCCTTCGATGACCAGTACCAGGGCTGTGGTCCTGCCATGACTGAGGCGTTGCCAGCCCTCAACCGCTCCGAGTTTGAGCAGAACCCTCTCTTTGCCAAGGCCTGGACTAAGGCCAGAGCCACATGGCAGAGTCGGGGGTCCCCTGTGTCCCCTCTGTCATCCCCAGCCCAGGCCATCGCCCTCATGGCCTACACAGTGAATGACCTGTACAAAGAGTTCAACCGAGCCGTGCGCACGGCCGGGCGCTCCAGGCAGGAATACCGGGACAACTTCCACTTCAAAACTCTGCATTTCCTGCTGACCCAGGCCCTGGCGACACTGAGGGTCACTCGGGGTCCAAAGTGTCAGGACGTGTACCGGGGGTTGTGTGGAGTCAGGTTCCAGGCAGAGTACGGTGATGTCGTGCGGTTCAGTCGATTCATGTCAGCGTCACAGAATGAAACAGCCTCCCAGCAATTTGGGAGAGACACGATGTTCCAGGTGTACACATGCCACGGTGCAGAAATCTGGGAATTCTCCAACTATACTAGTGAGAAGGAGGTGCTGATCCCACCCTTTGAGACCTTCGAGGTCATCAAAGTCAGGCAGGAAGGAGAAAGCACGTGGATTCAGCTCAGCTCCAATGGGACCTTCAGCAAATACAACTGCGAGTGGCTGCAAGGTGACGCCACAGGTGAGAGCCTGGGGCGATGGGGACACCCACTGGGGATGGGACAGGGACATGGGCACCCAGTGTGGCTGCGGGGACAAGGACACCCCATGCTGGGCACAAGGAGAGGGAAAGCCAGTGCTGGGGACACTCTCTGGATGTGGTGAGAAACCAAGTGCTGGGGGCACCCACTGTGGCCATGGGGACACCAGGATAAGGCACAGGGGACAATGACACTCACTGGGCATGGGGGGACAGCGACACCCAGTGCTGGGGAGGGCCACTGTGGACAGGGAATACCCATGACAGGGCACAGAGGGTGGGGACACTGACTGAGAGTTTGGGGACAGGGACAGCCCATGCTGGGGATGCCAATCTCGGGACACCCATTGTGGGCACGGGGACAGGAATGGCCATGACAGGGCACCGGGATGGGGACCCCCCCATCTGGGAGGAGACAGGGTCAGGGAGAGCCCAGCCAGGGGACCACAGGGACAGGGATGTCCCCATTCTGATCCTGTCCCTCCCCACCAAAGGCAGTGCTGTGGGGCTGGGCCCTGTGTGCTGGACGTGGGTGGGCTGGGAGCCCTCATGGCCCTTCCTGAACCCCTGTCCCCAGCTGTCACCCGCCATGGCACCTCCTGACTCCCCCTGATCCCTGTCACCCCTACGACCACCATGACCCCTCTGCCCTCCCCAGGCCTCGTGCCCCCCTGTGCCCCCCCGCAACACCCTGTCACCTGACACCTCATGGCCCCCATCTCTCCTGTCACCCCTAACCCCCCATTATGGTCCTCCCCCACCCCCTCACTCCCCCCATGATCCCCCTGACGTCCGTCTCTTTGTCTGCCAGGTGGGAGCGCCCCCAGGGCTCCCTTCCATGTCGGAGGACTCCTCCTGGCCACCACAGCCCTGGCAGTCGCCACTGGGATCCTCTGAGCCACGAGGCCACTGTGGTCTCCAAGGTCACTGTCATCCCTGTGGCCACCACAATCACCAATACCACCATGACCTCTGGAGAAACGAGGCCACCAAGGCTACCAAGGCCACCACAGCCACTCTGGCCACCTTGGCAGCTGTTGCCACCATAAGGTCACTGTGGCCACCATTGTCATTGAAGCACTGTGGCCACCACAGCCACTCTGGCCTCATGGTCACAAAAATCAACGAGGCTTCTGTGGCCACCATGATCACCAAGAGACCCGGAGTCACCACAAAGTTACAACAGCCACTGTAGCCACTGTGGCCACCAGTATCATTGTGCAAAGAAATTCTATTAAATAATTCTATCAAAACAATTCCATTAAATAAATTTGACAAAGCCAGAACAAAGTGACAATTCCTAAGCAGGGCTCAATGTCAGTCCTCACACCAACACTCCTGGGAACGTCTCTTTCTCTCTGCCTCAAGGAGGATCCCTCAGGAGCACTCCCTCCCAAGGGAGGAACCTCACACACATTTCATTTCCAGCAGGAACAGGGGAGAGGAATCTTTGTCTGAGAGGGGACTGGACATTCCCAGGGTCAGTTGCTCGATGGCCAGGCCCATTTCTGGTCTTTCATCCTCACTTGTCAGTTTGGGGTTCATGATTTGGGCTGGTTTTAGCCCAATTCAGCAAAAAAATCAGCAGCAGACCCCTCTCAGCTCAGCCCTGATGGCAACAAATGGGGCATTGTCCCTGGGGCGCATTCCAGGCAGAGCATCCTGACACATCCTGCACTTCAGGGGGACCTTAAAGGCTGTAAATTGGGAGGTTCAAGAGGAGAAGGGCAGGTCCTGCCCCCTGGGAAGGGACAGTCGCCAGTGGTAGTCCAGGCCCAGAGGGTCCTGCTGGAGCAGCTGTGGGGAAGGACCTGGGGGTGCTAGCTGGTGACCCGTGAAGCTGGCCATGTGGCCTGCAGCCTGGAGGGATCCAGGGTGTATCATGAAGAGCAGGACCCAGAGTATTTCCTCCTGTTTCCAAGGAGGTAGGGCAGTGTTTGTACCCCTCTGCCCTTCCCATTGAGGCACATCAGGAGTGCTGTGTCCTGATCTGGCAGTGCTGTGACCAGATCTGCCCAGTGCTGTGTCCTGTCCTGGGCTGCTCTGGACACAATCCAGGTCTCAGGGATGACGCTGCCTGATCTGGGAGGTTGGGCCAGGTGCCCACTCTGGGTCCTTCCAGCCTGACCCATGCTGGGATTTGGGGATTCTGGCAGTTGCGGTTCAGGAATTGTCCACTGGAGGGCAGCAGCGAGCGTGGGAAATCAGTGTCACTGCGCATGCGTCGCCCCCAGCTGCAGTTCCGGGTGCCAACAGCAGGCGGCAGCACGAGCTGCTGGCGCTGCCGAGCGCCCGCCCCGCCCCATCCCGGCCCCAGGGGCTCTGCAATGGTTTGGGCTGGAGCGACCTTAAAGCCCGTCCGGTGCCAGCCCTGCCATGGGCAGGGACATCTTCCCCTGGGCCAGGCTGTTCATGGCACCGCCCATCCTGGCCTTGAACTGTTCCAGGAGTGGGGCAGCCACGGCTTTGTTATAGATGGGTAATATGATGATTGGCTCTTTGTGTTTATGTTAAGAGAAGTTTTGTTGATGTGTGGTTATGTGATTTTAGTTTGTTGTTTGGACATCCTGTGTTCTCCCCATTGCCCCCTCTCCTCCCCCCATATTGTTGCTACAGGACAGCTGTGGTTGTCAGGATTGTCAGGGACATGTACCCGTGCCCCTTGCACGGGGCAGTTGGGAATGGGGAATGCCTGTTGCTGCAGAGAAGTGGCATGGGATCTCACCTCCAACCACACTGCAGGAAGGTCTCCACCAATGGACAGCAAGGAAGAGTCAGCTGGTAGACTGTGGGAGGGGCCAGGGATTTAGAAGGAAAATGTTTGAATATGTATGACTTATAAATATGACTTATAAATATGTATTTGGCTGATGCAACACCAGGGGGATAAAGGTCAGAGCCGCCATTGATGAGACTCTGGCTTCAGCTGAGCATATAGCTCAGGATACAATGGAACATTTCCTCTATCTACCTTTTGGTCAGAAAAATTCACCTTGCCAGAGGTTTACTTGCAGAAAGGAGACAGAAGTGCCCTGTAATTTTATTCGTGATCAAAGGAAGAGGCCGTGGGGAATTTCCCCACGGGGTGTCACAAATTGCTGGACGATGCAGCCTCCTTTTTACCCCAATTTCCCACCCATATCTCCCACTCCCTTTCCCCATTGGCAGAGGTATTTGGAAGGTGCAGACTTCCCAATCCAGCCACTGCACGTCCCCCTTGCTACACACCCCGCCCTTCTGCCACACATACACATGACCATAAAAATGAGCTTTAACTTTACCCTGGGCAGGGTAATTAATATTCATAAGCCTGTTAAGTCTTTGTTCTTCTTCTTGAAATTCAGGAATTTGGTAGGACCTTGCTGAGCAGCAGTCCATGTCAATGAGGAACATTTTCTGAAACTGATGGTTTCTCCAGTCACTTCCTTCTCTACAAGTCCCAGGCCCTATCTACCACCAGATTCACACAATCTATTTGTAAAGAAACATTCCTCTTATTCCTTTCTAGGTTAAATTAATTGGGGTGCGGAAATAGAGTTTGGTTTGGTTAAAGTGCTGAATATGTGGGAATTCTCAGGATTTGGGCGCATGAATCAATGAATTTTCAAACAAGTAATGGGAAGTTAATGAAATGTTAGGGGGTGAGGAGTAGGTAGAATTTTCTTTTTCTCTCCTCTTCCACTTTTTATCCTTTTTTCTGCTCAGGAAAAATGGCAGTGGTGGCCTTGGTAGCCTTGGTTGCCTCTTTTCTCTGGGGGTCACGGTGGCTTTGGTGATCGTGGAGACCACGGTGACCTTCATTGCCTTGTGGCTCAGACAATCCAGCCGGGGCTGTAGTGGCCAGGAGAAGCCCTCTGAGGTGGGAGGGGGCCCTGGGGATGCTCCCACCTGGGAGGAAAAAGAGGGGGATGAGTGGTCGATGGGGTTGATGAGGGTGATGCGGGTCAGAGAGGGGTCAGGGATTACAGGGGCACGGGGGGGTGTGAGGGGTGTTCAGGTGGGGTGGAATACCGTGGTGGTGGGGATCAGGGTGCTCAGGAAAGCCATGGGAGCTGTCAGGGGTTCAGAGGGGGCCATCACATGGGGTGAGTAAAGATGGGGGCCACGGGCAGTGGGAGCATTGGGGGTGAGCAGTGGCTGGTATGCAGGAGGGAGATTGATGGTCAAGGGGCCGTGGGGGCTTTAGGGATGATGGGGTGTCAGGGGGGCAGTGGGGTAATATAGGGAGCAATAAAGGGTTTCAGGAGGCTCAGATTGAGCTTTAGGGCTGACAGGTGTCAGGAGGAGATAGGGGGAGCCATGTGGGGTGTCAAGGGAGTGGGAGAGGTTCAGGGGGGGTCAGGATGATCCCAGCCCACTCATGACCAGCTCACAGGGCCAGTCCCTACAGAGCTGGTCTGCAGAGGGGAGGGACAGAGACAGCAGAGGAGGGTTCCTATCTCTGTCCATTTCAGCGTCCCTGTCCCTGGCATCCTCTGGGCAGGGGTGTGTCTGTCCCCTCCCAGATGTGGGGGTCCCCATTCCTGTGCCATGTCATGGGTGTCCCTGTCCCCCATCACCCGTGGGTGTCATTGTCCCCTGTGCCTTAGCATGGGTGTCCCCATCCCCACAGTGGGTGTCCCTGTCCTCCAGGTTTTCCCCATGATGTCACGTCACAGCCACTCGCAGCTGTATCTGCTGAAGGTCCCACTGGAGCGGAGCTGGATCACTGCCCTCTCTCCTTCCTGGGTGACACCGGTGACCTCAAAGGTCTCCAAGGGTGGGATCAGCACCTCCTCCTCAGTAGGACTGGAGGAAAATTCTTGGATATCCACACCGGAACACGTCTGCACCTGGAACGTCGCGTCTGTCCCAAATTGCTGAGCGATCTGTTTATGCAGTGATGTCGATGTGAATCGACCAAACCGGATGGTGTCACCACACCGTGCCTCAAACCGGACACCAGGCACCCCCAGAAACACATGGTGACATCGTGGTCTCCAAGTGTCCCTCAGTGTCACCAGGGCCTGGGTCAGCAGGAAATGCAGTGTTTTGAAGGGGAAGTTTGCAGTCTCATCCTGCGGCCACTGGAGCTGACGGGTGCCGGCCAGCTGCTCCTGGAGTGACTGCTGGAGAGCACAAATCCCGCCACTCCCAGGTCCTCTGCCAGAACCCTGAGTAGTGGCTCCGTCTGCGGTGTGGGGATGCAGGCGAGAGCAGGGCTGCGAAGCACTGAGGCAAAGGAAGGAAGGAGTGGACACGCGTGTGGATGCCAAGGCGCTTTTTAGACCCAGGCGAGGCCAAAAACGGTGTCAGGGAAAAACCGTTGGGGAGGCACTTATAAAGGGGAAGGGTGTGACATGAGGAGACACGAGGGAACCAATGAACAAAGCCCAGGGGAGGAGCGAGGGACACAAGTGAACCAATAGGAATGGCCCAGGGGAGGGAAGAGGCTCAGGGGACAAATCATATGTTAGGTAAGGGAAGATTGACATAGAAATTTCTTGAAATGAAAGGGGTTGGTTACAACGATAGGTAACTGGCGGGAGAAACAAACCATTACGAGGGAGAACATGGGGGGAACTGAAGGTCAAACCAAAATCTTAACTTATAAAAAATAACCAACTTCACAATAAAACCCGTACAGGACACACAATGTTACATCTCCCCCTTTTTTGTTTTAAAAAGGAGAGGGGGACACTGTAAAAAGGGACAGAGTCCAGTTCCTGGAGAGGGTGCTGTAAAATGTGTAAAGTCCAGTCCTTTGTACTCCGGTGCTCTCTGCCTTTTGGCTCTCCCACTATCTATCGTTCTTTGTGACACCGGCAGCAAAGGCGATCTTGCATGCTGAGGAAGGCTTTGTGGTGGAGGCAGTGATGACTTGCTTCAAGACACCGAAGCACAAGGACGGCAGGAAACGAATGGCAGCAAAGTAACTTCTGCTCTTCATGCAGGACAGCATCCACAATTGTGAGGAGCATTGTGGGCGCCTGAAATGAAATGAGAGCAGAACACATGATGAATACTTGAACAAACATAACAACGGAATTTCTCTGAGGGAGAGGCAAGGGAATAAAAGAGGTAATATCAGGAGTCTCTTCCCCTCCTGCAAGGTTTTCTATTCTGTGCAAACGTACGGTCATTGGGGTCCTCCTGGCCGTGGGGGGTTACAGCTTGAGGCGCGCTAACAGACTCTGTTGGTGTATAGGGCTTGATTGGTTTCTCAGGGACCCATCTGACACCTGAGGGCGTGGACACGCAGGCATTTCCATGACCCCAAGTGATAAGCTGGAATGGACCCTGGATTTCTGCAGAGTC